ACATCTACTGCACAGCCACATCTACTGCACAGCTACATCTACTGCACAGCTACATCTACTGCACAGCTACATCTACTGCACAGCTACATGTACTGCACAACTACGTCTACTGCACAGCTACATCTACTGCACATCTACATCTACTGCACAGTTTACGTAGAGACGCTGGTGGCAAGCAGCGATCTAGCACGTAGAGAAATGAGTGAGACTTAGTCCCAATATTGATGCACTTTCACCCTTGTGTGGGTGATCCTGACCCACCTTGATGGGTGACAGGTGCAGGTAGTGGAAGAAGACAGGCCGTGCAGCCTGCTGCGTCACGACGGCCTGCGACAGGCTGCCCTGCACCAGCGCTGTGTCCTGCGCTACCTTCTCAGGCTGCGAGAATTAAAATTTCGATTTTTTAATTCTAGGAAATTTGATTTTTATTTATTTTCATTTTTTTAATTCTAGGAAATTTGATTTTTATTTATTTCTCATTTTTTACTTCTTGGAAATTTGATTTTTATTTATTTTTCATTTTTTTAAATTTTAGGAAATTTGATTTTTAATAACGCATTATTCAAAAATTTAATTATCATGTCTGGTGCTTTGGGCTTAAAATTTCATTTTTTTTAATTCTTGCATATTTTATTTCAAACAACACATTATGCCAAAATTTAATATCATGCCTGATGCTTTGAGCTGGAAATATATTTAATGAATCTTACATTTCATTTAAAATAGGGAACCAGCTATCAATAATAATAATAATAATAATTCATATTACATACAATACTACTTCGAAACTACTGACAACTCAGATTTATATGACAATATACAATATGACAACTCAAATTTACAATAGGTTATATTGTATTTAATACTCTATTGGCTTGCAAAATTTGACTCATGTTCTTTTCTAGCTTTTTTATTTATTAAAGAAAAGTGGTTACCCCTATGGCTCGAGGAAAAGCTCCACATTTAATTAATTAATTAAAATTAGCTGGTAGAAATTACTACATTTTATAAATACGGATCCATTACCCATACTCAATGCTATTCCTACCTAAGGCTAATAGCCGGGTAACAAGCGTTACCGTCAGTAAACAATCTCTCTATTATTAAGGTAACCACAAGCGGTAAAGGCCTGGTAACAAGCATTACCATGAGTAAATTAAGTTAAGCACGAGCGGTATAAGCCTGGTAACAAGTGTTACCGTCAGTAACGCCCTGTTACCAAGGTAACCACAACCAGTATCAGAACTGACGGTGTAAAGCAGCTGTTGCACGTCAGTCTGAGGGACCAGGAGGGCGAGGAGGGCGCTAACAAAGGGCATCTCGACCATGACGTGGAACTCCTGCAGCAGCGCCGACACATACTTGTACTCGAGTAGACCTATACGCTGTTCTACTTGTACCATGCTCGCCTCGAACAGCGGCTTGGGCACTGTAAGAGTACAATATTTATTAAGTTATTTATGGTAATTGATAATATTAAGACAGTGATAGTAGCTAATTTTATAATTAAGATGTAATAATTGTAATTATTGTATTATTTTAATACATAATGTGTTAAGCACAAATGCATTCGATACACGCTCGCCTCGAACAGCTGCTAGGAAACTGCGAGGATACAATACTTTTTTTGTTATATATGGTAATTGATAATAATAATAGAGTGATTGTATTTAATTGTAAAATTAACATACAGTATTTCAATTAATAGTATTATAATACATAAATTGTGTTAGGCATAAAAATCCGATTCGCGATAGCCCAGAAAAGTGTCTTTGCGAACAGCATAATACTGAATTGTTACGTTATTGGTTCTTTTACCGAGCCAAACTAGGTCAATATGACCCACACAGTGTTGAATGGTGCATCGCCTTTTGGACAAAACCACACTCATTTTTCTGAGTGAAGGTTGCTAGGAGCAAATAGGTACAGGTGAACGGTGTTCAGTAATGAATATAATCAACCTACGTAAATTAATCCTGAACAAATATGATTAATTTAAACTAATAAAGTAATTATCAATCAATTAATTAATCAAGTGATATAAGTAATAGCACTGACCGGTCTCGTCCATGACGCTCTTGGCAGGCTTGACCCTGTAGAAGACTGTGGGGAAGAGCACGTCAGTGAGCTGGTTGTCCACCTGCAGCTGGTTCACCTTCAGGTGCAGGTGCCTGCGCTGCTGGTACTGCTCCACCTGCAGTGTTGGTATGTTACTGGGGGGCAGTAACTAGTTACCAGCTAGAGTTGCTAGTTACCAGCTAGGGAGTTACTAGTTACCAACTGGAGAGTTACTAGTTACCAACTAGAGAGTTACTAGTTACCAACTAGAGAGTTACTAGTTACCAACTGGAGAGTTACTAGTTACCAACTAGAGAGTTACTAGTTACCAACTAGAGAGTTACTAGTTACCAACTAGAGAGTTACTAGTTACCAACTAGAGAGTTACTAGTTACCAGCTAAAGAGTTTTAGTTACCAGCTAGAGAGTTACTAGTTACCAACTAGAGTTACTAGTTACCAAATAGACAGTTACTAGTTACCAGCTAGAGAGTTACTAGTTACCAGCTAGAGAGTTACTAGTTACCAACTAGAGTTACTAGTTACCAAATAGACAGTTACTAGTTACCAGCTAGAGAGTTACTAGTTACCAACTAGAGAGTTACTAGTTACCAACTAGGCATTTCCCAGCTACTGCCATAGTTGGTAGGTACCAACACGCATAGGATTCTTCTTGGCGTTGTATTCAACTTGTATAAAAAACAAAGGGTTATTAAAAAGTTTGAGTGTACAATAAAATAAATGTGATAGGGAGACATACAGGAAGCGTACGACATGGGGGAAGATATGGGGTAAACGTGCGGGTAGACAAGGAAAGACATGGGGATAAACATGGGTAGATATGGGGGTAGGCATGGTGTAGACATGGGGTTATACTCGGTGGTAGTCATTGGGGTAAATGTGATGGTAGACGCGGAAGTAGATAGAAGATTAGACATTGGGGTTGATATGAGGGTAGACTTGAAGTAGACACGAGGGTAGACATGAGTAGACTAACCTGCATCCAGAGACCAGGTTCGTAGGTGCGGATGAGGTGGCGGTTGAATGGTTTACGCACAACCATTGCGGCGAAGTCAACCTGAAGTCAACATGGATGATGGTTATAACCGGTTCTTAATAATTTGATGGAAATAGGGAGAAGTGGAAAGAAAATAGGGAAAATGGAAGGAAAATAAGGAGAATTGGAAGGAAAATAGGCGAGAAATGGTAGGAAAATAGGGAGAAATTGAAGGAAAACAGGGAAATGGAAGGAAAATGGAAAGAAAATGGGGAGAAATGGAAGGAAATAGGAAGAAATGGAAGGAAAATGGGGAGAAATGGAAAGAAAATAGAAGAAATAGAAAGCAAATAGAAAAATGGAAGGAAATTAGGGAGAAATGGAAGGAAAATAGGAAGTAATGGAAGGACAATAGAGAGAAATTGAAGGCAAATAGGTAGAAATTGAAGGATAAAAGGGAGAAATGGAAGGAAAATAGGGAAAAGTTGCAAAAAATCATCATTATGAAATTATTTTGAGATTTTTGTTAGCTAATTATGTGTCTTAAGAGGAGCGTCTGGCCAAAATTTTATCTCCGCTATTTACAGACGGATTTTTTTGAAACTTGGTACACATATGTAAAACAGAAAAATAAACGGTCTTTGTTCATGTTTATTTTTCGAAAAAAATGAAAGAAAACGTGAAATTCTTAGAAAACGGCCAAAAAGGGGGTACTGTATAAATCTATCTCATAGGATTTTCAAGCTACAATATCGAGACACATCATTCGGTGCGTAAAGACCATATCTATCGATTCGTCGTAGCTTTTCTCGAAATTCTAATTTTTGAGGATGGGGTGGGCATTTTTAGTAAATTTTTTGATTCCCCTCCCCCCTTTCGAATTTTCCCCCTCCCTTTTCAAATTATTTTCAAAACTATAACGAAATTGGAAAAAATCTCTCGATCTAGATCTCTTATTTGCGAATCGAACGGTATATCTCTCATTGCAGGATAGGTTTGCAGTGATAATAAGTTAACTGTTCAGGAGAGCGCGACTTAGTCCTGAGCGCCCCGAAATTGTCATGCAAGGTGGCAAGGATACCAGACAAGACGTTACTTGAGCTGAAATTCAGTCACGGGTGGAGGGAACGACTGCATCTGAAATTCAGTCACTCATGGAGGAAACGACTGCTTGAGCACCATCCCGAATGACAGCTGCCGGATAACTAAGGTGCAGCGTCTTCAGACCGTCCTTTTATGTACCCGGCTGGGAATTTCCGCCTATCTAAAATGTGAAAGAACTCCACCACCCTTAACCCTTACGCGATCTGTCGTGAAGGCATAAATCAACGTACAGAGATGACTTTAGTACCGTTGGATAGGTCAGAATGTCAGCTTTAAGATGAGGCTAAAACCGGAAAAGCCGAAATCCAAAATTTTCCGCCAGACGGTCCCCGACGGATGGGATCATAATTAAATGATAATTTTGCCTAAAGTGATCTACTACTAATGCTACGTCACACACTACAGGGATAGCGATCTACCTCTAGTATCTACCAAGACCTACTTCGAGGTTCGGAGCGACGATGACGACGGTAGAAGCACGTGGCCCCGCGTGGTCGGGTACGAGGTGTGCGTGGCAGTAGCGTTGGTACGCGGCCTCCAGCAGCTCGGTGTGGGAGGCGCTGAAGGGGCGCCGCTTCCGCCCTCCGTACTTGCGGTTCTCCCACACCACGCCTGAGCTGTGGTACAATGTGGTACTTGTGGTACCTGTTACTAGTAGGCATTGTGACTAAAAATACTGGTATGGGTATTAAATCAGAACTTGGTATTTGTACGACTAGTTACTAAAATTAAATAAAATAAACTATTAAATAAATAAAATAAAAAGTAGTACTTGTTAATTTGGATTTGTTACTAAAAATACTGGAATCGGTGCGGCTTGTTGCTAAAAATACTGGTATTTATACTTGTTACTAGTAGTGCTTGATAATATAGGTCATGTTACTAAAATACTGGTATTTATAAGGCTAGTTACTAAAAGTACTACTAGGTATCCTACACGAGCCATGAACCCACCTAGTGACGGCGTATGACTAGTTACCAAAAGTACCTACAAGGTATCCTACACGAGCCATGAATCGGCGTATGACTAGTTACTAAAAGTACCTACTAGGTATCCTACACGAGCCATGAACCCACCTAGTGACGGCGTATGACTAGATACTAAAAGTACCTACTAGGCATCCTACCCGAGCCATGAACCCACCTAGTGACGGCACTATACATGACCTCCCTGGCCAACACGTCATCCACCAGGGACAGTCCCAGTCTGCTGAGGGCGACGCTGACGTGGGACGTGACGCGTTCCTTGAGGTCGTCCCGTAGCAGACTATCCAGCAGGTCAAGGTCTTCACTGAAGACCAGCCAGCGCTGCCCCCCACTGAACAGGTCTGCAAACCCCCCACTGTTGCCCCCCGCCAGCAGTGTCAGCCCCACGTGCATCTCCTGTAGGAGGGGAGGGAGTCGGTTGAGTCGAGGACAGTCAGGAGGGTGAGGATGGGGCTTGAAATCACCTTCATGATGGGTCAAAATCACCTAAATCACCTTGACGATGGGGTCGAAATCACGCAAAATCACCTTTACCATGTGATACAAATCAGAAAAATCGCTTTGACGAACTGGAAAAAAACTCTAAAACACTCAGAATCAACTTGACGATGGGATCAAAATCACCCAAAATCACCTTGACGATGGGATCAAAATCACAAAATTCACTTTGATGATGGGATCAAAATCACGCAAAATTACATGGACGATGGGATCAAATCACCTTAACGATAGGAACAAAATCACATTAACGATGGGATCAAAATCACCCAAAATCACCTCAAAGATAGGAACAAAATCACGCAAAATCACTCTGACGATGGGTTTAAAATCGTCCAAAATCGCCGTTACGATGGGGTCAAAATCATCCAAAATCACCTTTACGATGGGATCAAAATCACACAAAATCACCTTTCACCCAAAATCACCTTTACGATGGAATCAAAATTACTTTGACGATGGGGTCAAAATCACCCAAAATCACCTTGACGATGGGATCAAAATCACCCAAAATTACCTTTACGATGGGATCAAAATCACCCTAAATCACCTTAACGATGGGGTCAAAATCACCTTAAATATGGGGTTAAAATCACCCAAAATCACCTTTACGATGGGATCAAAATCACCTTTACTATGGGATCATAATTGCCTAAAATCACCTTTACGATGGGATCGAAATCACCCAAAATCACCTTTACGATGGGATCAAAATCACCTTAACGATGGGGTCAAAATCACCCAAAATCACTTTGATGATGAGATCAAAATCACCCAAAATCACCTTTACAATGAGATCAAAATCATCCAAAATCACTTTTACAATGAGATCAAAATCACCCAAAATCACCTTTACGATGGGATCAAAATCACCCAAAATCACCTTTACGATGAGATCAAAATCACCTTTACGATGGGATCAAAATCACCCAAAATCACCTTTACGATGAGATCAAAATCACCCAAAATCACCTTTATGATGAGATCAAAATCACCCAAAATGACCTTTACGATGGGATCAAAATCACCCAAAATCACCTTGGCGATGTTATAAAAATCACCCGAAATCACCTTAACGATGGGCTCAAAATCGCCGCACTGGACGCAGAGTTTGGGTGCGGGCGACGCCTCAGCCCAGGCAAACTGCAGCATCTGATGGGGGAGCGCAGTGCTGCGGTGCTGTGGGTGATGCTGCTGCCATACTGACACAGCAACAGGCAGTCTGTTGATCAGCACGGCCGCAGCACTGTGCTCCTGATACCTGCAACAGAGAGTCTCTTCATAAAATTTGATGTATTCATAAATAAAAATAAAAATTTATGAATACGAAACCAACACACTCATTAAGAGCCAGCACCCCAACTCACCCATTAAGAGCCAGCACCCCAACTCACCCATTAAGAGCCAGCACCCCAACTCACCCATTAAGAGCCAGCACCCCACCTCACCCATTAAGAGCCAGCACCCCAACTCACCCATTAAGAGCCAGCACCCCAACTCACCCATTAAGAGCCAGCACCACACCCGCACCACCCTCGGCCTCCACAGTCTCGGCGTATACGCCCCCGTATGCGTTGTCTAGCCTGAAGAGCGTCGCGTGTAGGAAGTTATACGCTATGGGCGACGTGGTCTCCATGGTGCCACGTACACGTACACGTACACTACATGTGGTACAGTCCGCCCACAGCCCCTCGCACACTCCAGGCTCCAGGTCCTGTTCCATGGAAAAAAGTGCGGATTCTTTTAGTGAATATTATAATTGTATTACATGGTAAATTACAATAATCCACACAGGTCATATGCGCTGTAGAGAATAGAGATGTAAATCTAATAAATATCCTAATTGTATTCAATAGTAAAAAATAAAAACTACTAACGGTTCTGCGCCATATGAGAGTTAATCGAATATATTGCATACAATGTGTATAATATCTATTACTTATAATATACAGCATGAGTGCATGACTCACCTTCCATGTCTGAAGGCTATAATGCTGCAGCTGATGTCAGCATCACTCACCTTCCATGTCTGATGGCCATAATGCTGCAGCTGATGTCAGCATCACTCACCTTCCATGTCTGATGTCAGCATGACTCACCTTCCATGTCTGATGACCATAATGCTGCAGCTGAAGGCGATGTGGTGCGCGGTTCACCACTTTATAGAAAGGCGTAAATACGACGATCTTGGTAAGACTGTTAGCACTTAAACTGATGTTTACGTTGAGCTGATAAACACGTTCACTTCCTGTCCGCTGGTCCCGGGACCGACATGTTACGATCCCATTGCTCCCGACTGCATCGAGCGCAAATTTGTCGCTCCAGTCGCTGTCTTCGGCGCGCACACTGGCTTTTTTCTTGCCAAAAAATGCTTTGGATTTGAAGGAGAAAAGAACTGGGTCGTTGTTGCTGCGGCTGTGGTTGATGTAGTTGTTCGGTACGTCGCCCTGAGACAGCAAAATTAAAGTTATATTGCAAACTGGTGCAGTTTTTTTTGGTAAATGGGATAACACTAAAAAAAATTAATTAGTAATTTTGTCCGAATAGAGACCCACTATCTACTCCTTATTTGATACGGCATTTTGCCATCCAAATTGGTTCAGGATGAGCCACACAAGGGCAAAGGGTGCATCGCTATTTGGACAAAGTCTCACTCATTTATTTGAGTGAGTTGACTCAAAGGGTATATAGAGATCGTCAATAGCAAATATAATTAGGCTCGAATGGTTAAGATCATCAATAGAAATTACTATATAAATGGTTAAGATTGTACAAGGCTGCAGATCAGTTATATAATTATGAGGTCATTAATTGACTCCTAGATGCAAATATTAGCATTGATTTATTGCGTGGATTAGCAGAGTTCAAGTTCTTTATCTTTATAAAGAACTTGGATTAACAGAAACGTATTATTTTATTGCAATTTAGCCAGATATGATAATTATAGGTCTCCAAATAAAAGAGAATAGATTTATAAAAAACAATGACAGAGAAAAGCCAGAATTAGGCTATGGATATAGAATAATTATTAACATATAAACGTACGGGAAAAACGTATGTGTAAAAGAGTTAGTTATCAACAACGCATTCAGCACAAATGTGAAAAACAAGGAAAACGCCAAGTCAATTCAAAGGAAACGTTTTGAGCTCCGGAACGTTTTTATTGATGATATGGTGAATTAACTTGGACTTTTTCTTTTAAATTCATGGTGAAATTGCGATTTAAGCAAACTAAGGTTGAAAGTATTCAGCAAAAAATATTAAAATAATAGCGAAGTTTGTCATGCATTCAGCTTAGCACAGAATTTTTCGCGGAAAAGGCTCATTAATATGAACAAAAAACGGAGAACGAAGCAAAAAATAACAAACAAAATACATTATTACTTCAAAAATATATATCCTAAGGCAAACACAGCAACAACTTAAACATTGAGAAAAATTAATGAAGGCCGACTGAGCACACATACTTCAATACAAAGCTGCTTAAAACGGAACTCAAGTAATTCACATCATAAAACGGAACTAAAATAATAACTGCATAAAACCGAATTCAAGCAATTCAAGCATAAAACGGAACTCAAGTAATTTGTTACAAAGAAAAAGCATTAACTTTTTGGCGCAATGATAATACTTAGCAGAAAGTACGTGCATTGTAATGAAATTTGTGTAAAATATATGACAATTATAAAGGAGAAACAAGCGAAACCATTTGAATGACTTGTGGTAGAATATAACATAAGATAAACACACTTCAGAATTGTGAACTTTAATTATTTCGTCATTTGAATTCAATCTTGAACTTGTAGTCGCTCTATCCCTTATGAAAAATACACTTATTAAGAAATTAAAACGAGTCTAGCTAAGATATAGTGTAACAAAATTAAGAACAAAATAAAAAAAGTAAAAAATTTAATGAACAAAAAAAAAATTAAAAACAAATAGAAATGAAGAGAATATAAGTGAATGCTACTGAAGAGAAAAACTGTAATAGGGTACTGCATTAAATAGAATGAGGTAGCACCGACTCAAATAATATGAGTTTAAAAATTACTTTTAAAACACAACACTTCTAAAGAGGCCATGCAGTGTCTCCGATGTTACACATGTAGAAAGAATTTCTTATTTTATTTTTATCTATAAAAAAATTATTTGTCAACATATTTTTTAATTTGTAATTTTTAAAATTATTTATTCTGTCAATTGATTCAAGCACTGTATCGGACTTCACGCAAGTGTGCAAAATTTCAGATTGATTGGACAATTAGAAGCGTGTTAAATATAGATTATAAGATTTGAAGCAGACAAACAAAAGACAACAAGGAGTGAAGCTGTAAAGAGAAGTGTTGTAAAAATAAAACGTGATGGAATTATAATGCATATAATAACACTCATTCAAGTAAAATAAATTGCATAAATTTCTCATTTATGGTGTGTTTGGAATTTGACAAAACTGTTAGACTCTACTTCGAAGACAGAAGGCATCTACAGTATATGTAAAAAGAGTACATGTACAATTGTACAATATATTTTATAGTGAGTATATATATATGCGTTAGTGCAAGCTCTGCATATATAGAACAAACAGCCACAGTTTGTGCACACTCAAAATGAATGCGTTATATTGTCTAAATAGTGGCTCGTGCTCTGCACGTATCACTGATACGCAGTTTTAATGGGTCTATACTGTGTCAGGATGACCTACAGAAGGGCAAACAGTGCATCGTTATTTGGACAAAGTTACAAACTTATTTTTCTGAGAGAGTAGGCATGTACTGTTAGTGCAAACTCTGCAGGTAAAAAAACGGCAAAAACTTGTGCAGCAAAAAAATAGTTTTTGGTGTTTGTGCAAAAAAAAACCACAACAGTGAACATACCTTGACAGGCGAGACAGGGCTAGAGACGGTACTGTCTACCGAGCCCTCCTGTCTGCTGTCTATAGAGCTGACAGAGCTCACTGACAGACTTCTGTCAGGCTTATTGGACTTCTGTGCGGCGGCATGCGAAGCAGACAGAAATTGTGAGACGGAGTGACTGAGTAGACAGAAATTGTGAGACGGAGTGATAGAACAGGCAGATGTCATAAGACGGGTTGACAGAATAGACAGAAATTGTGAGAAGGGGCGACAGAATAGACAGACGTCATGTGACGGGGTGACAGAATAGACAGACGTCATGTGCCGGGGTGACAGAATAGACAGACGTCATGTGACGGGGTGACAGAATAGACAGACGTCATGAGACGGGGTGACAGAATAGACAGACGTCATGTGACGGGGTGACAGAATAGACAGACGTCATGAGACGGGGTGACAGAATAGACACACGTCATGTGTCGGTGTGACAGAATAGACAGACGTCATGTGACGGGGTGACAGAATAGACAGACGTCATGAGACGGGGTGACAGAATAGACAGACGTCATGTGACGGGTTGACAGAATAGACAGACGTCATGTGACGGGAAGACAGAATAGACAGACGTCATAAGACGGGGTGACAGAATAGACAGACGTCATGTGACGGGGAGACAGAATAGACAGACGTCATGTGACGGGAAGACACAATAGGCAGACGTCATAAGACGGGGTGACAGAATAGATAGACGGCAGGAGACGGGGTGACAGAATAGATAGACGGCGTGAGACGGGGTGACAGAGCAGCTTCACCCCAGTAAATAATCCCTAAACGATAATAACATATAATACAATGTAATAATAATATTCACTTTCCCGAATGCCAAACCCCACAAAAACACAGCAAAACATACCAGTTTATAACGCACAGACGTCAATTTAATTCAATAATAAAGTTCAATAAATATATTCATGTTTGACAAATCCTGATGTCAATTATATTTTGCAGCAGAATTTTTTTTCGTATATATATATATAGTCAGTGCTTCAAAATATAGAAAAATGCAACGAAAATTATTTCAACAGTTTTTTCAGCTCTCCACTTATTTCCTATGGCAAATTGATGCCTTCACTCAGAAAAACGAATGCATCATTTTTGTCCAAACAGTGACACACTTTCTGCATATAATTAGCCAGGACAAGTTGACCCAAACAAGGGCAAAAAGGGCATCGCTATTTGGAATAATTTTCACTTATTTTTCTGAGTGTTAGAGCTCTTTAGGACAATATGGCAAAAATGCAAGACTGCTGACTTACGCCTAAACAATATATTTAATATTTTTATACACAACATATTTTTTACACTGCATTATCAATGAAGCTCGCGTGGACCCTTTAATAGTTTCTGATTTAATATGCAAGATCCATGCTTTAATCTGTTAATTTTACTTGTATATTATAGATTCTTGAACTGATGATGGCGCCGGAAAAAGAAACGCTTTCGGAATTAACTCTACGTTTTTAATGCATTTAAATTCTTGGTGAACTAACGATTAAAGCAAACTAATGATAGAAGTACATATATAAAAAATGGTACCCTTTTTAATAGGAATAAATAGAAGTTATCAGGCAGAATATCAAATGCATACTTTAGCAATAACAATTCAAAAAAAGTGCAATAAAAGGCTAACATCAGAATATATATGCGCAGATGCCACAACTGAACACGACAAAACACACGCTTTTTATTAAATAAAAAAGTGAATTGAATTAGTATTGATAAAGCAACAATAATATTAACACGAATACGAATGGTCAGTTTTAAGCACAAGCTCCGTAACGGAAATAAAATATACATCTTGCCATTCACGAATGCAATGATGAATGGCCGCCTGACCACGTATGAATATGGTGATGAATGGCCACTTGACCACGTATGAATATGGTGATGAATGGCCACTTGACCACGTATGAATAGGGTGATGAATGGCCACTTGACCACGTATGAATATGGTGATGAATGGCCCCTTGCCCCTTGAAAGGTTACCACCACACACGCAGGCAGTTATGTCAGGGTACAGAAGCGGGTAAGCAGAACTCAGTTATTCCTCTACACAGCACTAACACATGATTTTAAAAACACAATTAAACTGAATATATGGTCAACCGCATGATTGTGCCCCCAGCTCCCCCCCATCCTGCCCGGGGGCGGCGCTCACCTCCCCAGACGAGCGGAAGAGCGCCCGACACACCCGCCCCACCCGACGCAACTTACGGCTCTCCTGGGGGCCAGCATGGCGGGGTTATATGGGGGACATCCAGTCCACATGCATCTAGTCCTCCTACACATGCACCCAGTCCACCTATATACACATGCACAAAGCTCACCATCTACACATGTACCCAGTCCACCTACACATATGCACCCAGTCCACTTACAGGTGCACAAAGCCCACCTACAAATGCTCCCAGTCGACTCTGAAATTGTTACAAAATGCAAGCAGGGACAAACTGCGATGAACATGTATAGCTTTTCTATGGAAATTATCAAGTTAGTACAATGATTTCTACGCTAAGAAAACACGGACTTAACAAGCATCCACCACACGAGCACTATACAAAGACATAATGCACTATATACGAGCACTATACACAGACAACATGCACTATACGAGCCCAATATGCACTATACGAGCCCAACATGCACTATACGAGCCCAACATGCACTATACGAGCCCAACATGCACTATACGAGCACAATGCATAGACAAAATGCACTATACGAGCCGAACATGCACTATGCAAGCGCTATGCGTTACAATACTGCGTTACAATCAAGAACGGTCTGAGATATGAACGTTTAAATTACCAGAGCATAAACATGGTGGCATGCAGGTTAATTTATGTCACGTCAACAAAATGAAACGTTTCACGATAGTGAAAATGTAATTGCTAATTAAATTACACGTAAAAGTTGTAGAAGGGATTAGTTCGAGTTATTAGTGACAAACCGCATGCGATATCATCGTATTTTTACTCTTTTTATATACTTTGCATGAGTTTTTAGGTTTTCTTCAAGCATTTCTTCCAAATAAACAAAAACATTTTCTATGTAGATTCATTATTTTCTTAGTACATCTTCTATTCATTAAAATACATTTCCACTGCATCTTGAATAACATTTTTTAAGCATTTTTAATAAATTTGCAATTTCTTCCATGCACGAGCATCTTCACGAATTATCGTACATTTTGCATGAAATTTCACATAATCTATAAATCATATTTCCCACGATTTTTTTATTGCATATTCAACGATATAATCCCTCGTCACATTCTAGCAAGCGGGACTCATATATACCTTCCCTCACTGGTACCCTCTAAATATGCTAGGATCCCAACTTTCAAGTTGGGACCTCTCAAAATAATTCGAGATCCCTCAAAGATCCCACGTTCCCTAAGGTTTAATTATTATTATTAGTTATTAACTAAAACTTAACCATGGTAATGCAAAAGCTGCAGTTTTTCAATCACAGTTGCTCTCAAGTAAACCAAATTCCCGACAGAAGGGCCGGCGAGAGGGTGAACCGACACAGACTTACTGTTCTCTCCTTGATATCACAGAAATTGTGGCATGTTTCACAAATGGCATCGCAGAAATTGTGGCACGTTTCACAAATGGCATCGCAGAAATTGTGGCATGTTTCACAAATGGTATCGCAGAAATTGTGGCATGTTTCACAAATGATATCACAGAAATTGTGGCATGTTTCACATATAACAAAGAAATTAATATTTAAACGATTATATCTGGAGACTTGAATCAAGATGCAGAGAAAAGACGACGTACTCATCTACCACCACCCACGCACAGAGGGGTACATCTACCACCACCGATCACCACAAACTGTAGAATATCATCTTGAATATTTTACTTTTGAAGCCCATACAATTCATACAATGTGAATGAATTTTAGACATATAATCCATCATGTGTTCCTTAGCAGAACTTGGACATTTCTGTGAAGGCGAAGTTGTCAGAAGTAGAGATAGAAATGGAGGTAGAAACAGGTAGAATGAGAGGTAGAAACAAAAAAATATTGAGGCAGATTTAGAGAATAAATATATATAGACAGTAGAGCTAGGAGTGATCGGGCTACAAAAATGATTCACGTAGGTTTTAGTGGTAGATTGTTAACAGTTCTGAATAACGAGACTGGAGTACATGAGTGGTGGGTTCAATCGCAGCTACCGTTTACGGTACTGGTCTGGCGGTTAAGCAAGGCAATATTGGAGCAGTGAGTTGCGTGTTCGAGATCGCAACAAGCTGTGAAAATTCGGCGACGTGCAGAATCAGCGACATGCATTTTGGCCTTGCGAACGGTGCCACCGCTAATACTAATTTACTATTACAATGAGTTACACAATGAGTAGTAACTGTTACTAAGATCTTTAAGATACCACGAGGTGAGAAGTACCCAGAGTTCGTTTAGGGACTCAAACCCACGACCATGCTGCAAGCACCACCTCTGACGGCAACCAAGCACCCTCTACCAGCGACACTGGGAAATGAACTGTGCTGCCCAAGGCTCGAACCCACGACTAACTCCTCTCAATCGGTGCCGCTACCACTGTCATACAGTGGCACAAACCACTGCGTTACAATAACGTATAAGTAGTATAAGTAAGAGTAGCGTATAAGTAACAGTAACGTTTAGGTAAGAGTAACGTATAAGTAACAGTAACGTATGAGCAACAGTACCATATAAGTAACAGCGACGTATAAGTAACAGTAACGTTTAAGTCACAGTAACGTATAGTAAGTAACAGTACCGTATAAGTGACAGTAACACACAAATAAGAATATCGTACAAGTACGAATAACTCACCCGATAGGTGAGATCAAGCCCGGTCTTATTAAGCATCCAGAAGGGGCAGTAGAGGGCCATGGTGATGGTGCCCCGGTGGGTGCTGGTGTGCACCCCCAGCTCGAGGGTGGACGTGGCGCCCCCCGTGTAGGTGAGGGTTCCTCCCTCAGGACATCCCTCGAACGTCCATACGTCCAGCACGGCAGGTACGGACTCGATGCTACGGCCGCACTTCCAGTTACGGCCGTAGTAAGATAACAGCTGAAGAGGGAAAGCAGGTGTGTCACAATTTGGACAAAAAGATCCATTAATTGGTCTGCGTGCCACAACAGCTGCAGAGGGAAGCAGGTGTCGGCAGGACATTACGCACTCAAGGAAATGAGTGAGACTTTGTGTATTAGCGAGGATTTATCGCCATTAAATAGATCAGTTTGATCAAATTTGGTCGTGAAAAAGCGCATATGAGTGCAAAGTGCGAAAAGTGTGACACAATTTGGACAAGTTGGCCCATTAATTGCTCTGCGTGCCACAACAGCCGTAAAGGAAGGCAGAGTGAATAAGCTAAAATTTAATCTACAGGGCTAGAATAGGAATGTTGAAAGCGACGAACAAAATGAACATACAAAAAAATTAATGCACGAAAAATGAATATTTAAGGAAGTAATATTCGAGAAAAGGAATGTTCACCTGCAGTTCTAGGTACCTACATGGCCCAGCAATGTTCACCAGCAGTTCTAGGTACATGGCCCAGCAATGTTCACCCTGTCTCTTATACACATCTAGATGTGTATAAGAGACAGGTTCTAGGTACATGGCCCAGCAATGTTCACCTGCAGTTCTAGGTACCTACATGGCCTGTCTCTTATACACATCTAGATGTGTATAAGAGACAGGCCCAGCAATGTTCACCTGCAGTTCTAGATACATGGCCCAGCAATGTTCACCAGCAGTTCTAGGTACCTACATGGCCCAGCAATGTTCACCTGCAGTTCTAGGTACCTACATGGCCCAGCAACTGTCTCTTATACACATCTAGATGTGTATAAGAGACAGGCCCAGCAATGTTCACCTGCAGTTCTAGGTACCTACATGGCCCAGCAATGTTCACCTGCAGTTCTAGGTACCTACATGGCCTGTCTCTTATACACATCTAGATGTGTATAAGAGACAGGCCCAGCAATGTTCACCTGCAGTTCTAGGTACATGGCCCAGCAATGTTAGTTCTAGGTACATGGCCCAGCAATGTTCACCTGCAGTTCTAGGTACATGGCCCAGCAATGTTCACCAGCAGTTCTAGGCACATGGCCCAACAATGTTCACCTGCAGTTCTAGGTACATGGCCCCAGGCTGGGCATAGGGCAGCTCTAGGACGACGCCAGGGGCGACGACGAGGTTGTCGCTGCAGTTGGGGGGCGTCACGACGAGGGGGAAGGGCAGCAGGTTCTGCAGCTGTACGCAAGGACGTACCTCCACCATTGTCAGGACGGCGTCAAGAGTCCTACGCGTCGTAGACTCCCACAGGATCTGTTCCACTTGGCAACTCGCCTGTCAACGGTAAAATTTCAATTATTGCATCCCTCAGATAAATAAGTGGGACTCTGTCTCACCGGTAATGACGATATTTCACTTAATATGCCACTCAGAAAAATGTGTGAGACTTTGACTTTACAACTCGCCAGCCACAGGTAATATTTAAATTGATATATCACTCAGAGAAATGAGTGGGCTTCAGTCTAAATAGCGATGCACATTTGCTCGCCTAGCGACGGCTATAATCTAATTCACTCAAAAAATGAGTGCTAGAGGGTAAATGTTGACTTGACAGCTCGCAATATTGTAGCAATATTATATAATATTAATAATAATATCATTGAAACGGCAATATTGTTGCTATTAACTAAATCGCTCTGAGTTGCGTTGCACAGAGATATTCAGAGCGGGCTATGTGAGGGGAATGTGAGGGGAAATGTGAGGGGAATGTAAGAGGGAAATGAGAGGGCAAATGAGAGGGCAAATGAGAGGGAGAAATGTGAGATGGAAGTGTGAGAGGGAAATGTGAAGGGTATGTGAAGGAAAATGTGAGGAAAAATGTTAGGGGAAATGTGAGAGGAAATACAAGGGGAAATGTGAGGGGAAATACGAAGGGAAATGTGAGGAGAAATGCGAGGGGAAATGTGAGGAGAAATACGAGGGTAAATGTGAGGGGAAATACGAGGGTACATGTGAGGGTAATTGTGTCAAGGTTCTGACCACAAAGTTGTAGTCATGTCGCTTGGGGTTGCTGGGGTTGTGAGGGTCGGTCTTGGCGACGCAGGTGAGGGGATGCAGCTTCTGAGGGTCGTTCTGTAGCCCTCGCCACACGAGGGGTAGTCGCGAGACGCTGTAGCCGCTCACGCAGAAGAAAAGCTCTGCAAAAATTATAAATTGATTCAAATAAAATCTATTCTAATATGCTAAAACTTGTGCTAACTTTTAGTCCAAAGAGCGCAACATGTTTATACATAACCATTATATTGTGATTAGAAAGAGGAATAATTTATAAGCAGGAATAACAGCGAAGAATACGTTTCCGCTACATGTTAATAAATTTTCATCATATTTTATGAGTTATTTACATTAATAATAAGCTATTGGCACAATATTATTGGCTATTTACTTAAGATAATTATTTCATACCTGCTGCAGGAGTGTGGGCCACAAGGCCCATTACAGAGGAATATCGGAGGGGATTATATTTCCGCTACATGTTAATAAATTTTCACAATTTTTTATGATCTATTTACATTATTAATTAGCTATCAGCACAATATTATTCTCTATTAATACTAATGATTACCTATTTGCATTATATTATTGGCTATTTGCACAAGATACTTATTTCATACCAGCAGTAGGAGTGTGAACAGCCCTAAGGGGAAGATAAGCCACCTCCCCAGGCGCGAGGATCTTGACGCGTTCCACTTCGTTGCCGCGCTCAGTCATGAAGTAAACCTCGAGCTTCTGCGTCAGGCAGTTGGCAACCTGCAATAACAACGACGCGTTCACTTGTTCTGTATTTATTGCAAGTTTTATTGAAATTCATTGAACACCAGAAAATTATTTTCGTTAATAAAAATTAATATTATTATTATTTAATGTGCGTTCACTTACCCTGCATTCTGTGCAAGTTTCATTGAAGTCCAGAAGGTGATTTTCGGTAATAAAATTATTATTTAATTATTATTTATTATTATTAAATTAATGTTAATTAATAAAACGTTGTAGAGGGCTAGGTTAATTATTAAGGATTAATAATGTATATTATCTTGATGTATGGTTTATAGGAAAAGTATGTATTTTAATTAGGATGTAAAAGTTGTAAGATTGTTTTAGAGAGAATCATAGCTTTGCTGACTGGTGTCGTACGAACGGATTCATTCGGATTTTAGAGAGCGGACAGTAAGGATCCTCCAACAGAAGCTATCAACACTCTGCAAGGTGCCCTACAGACTATAGAGAGGTGGTCCCAACAGTGGGGGCTAACAATTTCTGCAGAGAAGACCACAGCCATTGTGTTTACCAGAGCACGCCGAACTCCAGACCAACAGCTAATACTAAATGGCTTAAATCTACAATTTGTGTCCCAGGTCCGTTTTCTGGGAGTTATATTTGATCAAAAACTGACTTGGGGCTCGCACATAGCAAACCTCACCTCCAGATGTCAAGCTGATCTTCGGCTACTACGAGTGGTTGCTGACAGGCAGTGGGGAGCTGATGCCTCAACACTACAGCGGCTGTATGTTGATTAATCCGATCTAAACTTGACTATGCTAGTTTTCTACTAAGTCCAGTGGCAGCCACCCACTTACAAAAGCTTGACAGAATTCAATATGAAGCTGCACGCATCATACTTGGGGCACAGCGTTGTACACCTGTCGTAAAGTTGGAGGCAGAGGCAGACCTGATGCCTCTCAACCTAAGAGGGCAACAGATTCTACTGATGTACTGTGCCCGCGCCCTCACAATACCACGTCACCCAGCAAGACTCCTACTACTCAACTACCACCCCTATGAATTATATGAACACCTTACACGACCACTGCAGGCCGAGCATATCAGGGCTTTAGAAAATTCCAACTGAAGGCACAGGATATCCCCACAGTGCCCATGCAAGCACGAGACATCCCAGCCAGAATCAGAATCTTTGCCACACTAGCTGTACAACACTGTAGAGTGCTAGGTTAATTATTAAGGATCAATAATGTGTATTATCTTGATGTATATACGGTGTACAGGAAAATGATGTGTTTTGATGTATTTTACAGGAAAATGATGTAAGTTGTAAGATATCTCCAGCACTGTTCAACAAAAGCAAATTTAGTTCATGGGAAGCCTTTTGTGAGAAAACCGCTAGTGTATGCTGAGACGAATGCTCGTTTCCGGAATTCGGCAAGACCTCAGGTGGGGCCTGTGACCGGTGATTTAGCGTGTCGGCATTGTGGAAGACGGGATCATCTTATTAGCAACTGTAGAAAACGTCTGAACCAATGTTTTGCTTGTGGTTCTAGAGACCATTTCCTATATCAATGCCCGAATTATCGACGTAATTATGACGTCACCAACCGACCACAGCAGTCAGCGCCTCAGTTCGTTCATCAGCGATCTGCACATGGAACGGCGGGATCGCAGCGCATTCGCGAATTCTCGTGTACCGTCTTTTAACGGTTCAGCTCCGGCTCAAATGAGGTAAAGCGGGAGCAATTGCAACATGGAGCCTCATCAGGATTTTTGCGAAATAGATATGACGGTTTAGTTGATGAATTAGATGATGGCGATGCACCTTGCCAGCTTGATCGCCCAGTTGCTGTGGATGAGCCGCGACATTGTGAAGAACCTCCCAGTGAGCCGCGACGTTGTGAAGAACCTCCCTATGAGCCGCCCAATGAATGTCGTAAGGCTGCTACAGGCTCTAAAAGTGGTTCAGGCGAGTCAATTGATTCATTAGGCATGATTTCGTTTTCACAGCCTGCTAATTTAATGCGCTTGCCTTTAAGTGTTGGAGATGTTAAGGTTAATGTTCTTATTGATAGTGGAGCGGCAATGAATATGTGCAAATGTCATGTGTTAGTCAAGAGTAAAGTTCCCCTTATTAACAGTAACCCTGTTATGATTAAAGGTCTTGAAAGTACGCAAACCGCTTCTATTGGTCGCGCCACAATACCACTTAAATTTTGCGGCATAGTTTTAAATGTCCCAATGATTGTTGAAAGAATCGTAGCTTTGCTGACTGGTGTCGTACGAACGGATTCATTCGGATTTTAGAGTGCGGACAGTAAGGATCCCTCTATTCGGCCTGTATATGTCTTGTTCCAGATTGTCTCCGTGTACTTTGTAACCTTGCACAATTTTGTATCTCTGTTGTGGTGTTGGATTTTAAGTATATCTTGACCAGAAAAGACTTTTATTCACTACAACAGTTCATGCGAACCTGGTGGTCCACAACATAATGGTGCCGTGACTCTTGAACTGTTTTAATGGTGCAAGGTATTAGTAACCTGAGTGTAGACACGAGTGTAATTTTAATAGGTTCACTAAGCTGAATACTTTCTGTGAATAGGCTGTTTTCTGTGTGGAGGCTTGCCGGTACTGCTCCGCTGTCAGTGTATTCTTCTATAAGCAACATTTAGGTGTCCAAACTTGTGAAAGTTGCACAATGGCTATGAATGTGGATAGGCCACCAGTGGATCCTGACCTAGATGGTGGGCTTAACCAAGAAGAAGAGGAACAATTTATTAACGATAATCTGGTTTATATTGAAAATTTTCTGGACAAGCTGAAGAACAGTGAACAAAACTTGCCTGCAGCGTCACGTGAGCGAGTCAATGCATTCCGTAAAGAATGGGAAGATTTTTTCCTATCATCTGCTGGTGCGAGAAATCGACCATCTATAGAGTTGACTGGATCAGCGTCTGCTGTTATCGCATCTACGGGAGCTATTCCTAAACGACGTGTGCATGAGAAATTAGGGTCTACTTCTGCGACTCGCAGGGCACATGAAGACAGTAGTACGTCGAGTGACAGCAGCGAGGATACTGGTGAAAGTATCGTACCACCGCCTTGTTCAGCAGGACGACGTAAGGAATCTCTTGCACGGAAGAGCAGAAGATGGTCGGACATTATAGAGAAAATGGATACAAGATAAGTGCCATCGATAGATAATTTCAATGAAGAAAGTGGTCAGGCTCTAAATAAGTACCTACTGAGATTTGAGAGCTACTGTGACAGTAATTTTCGTGGTGACAGAGATACGTGTCTGGATGAACTGGATCGCCACCTGGAAGGTAAGACTCGTGATGCTTTCCGAGCTCTCCGCGATGTTGATGACTCCTATAGTGATGTGAAGCAAAAGCTGTGTGAATGGTATGATGATTTGAAAGAAGTAAGAAGTGAGAAATGCAAGATCAATTTTTCTGAGGCACGATATCAGCGCGGTGAATCCATGTACCTTTTTTGTGGTAGACTTGAGCGGCTTTTTAAACTTGCGTATCCGAAGAAGAAAGTCCAGTCGAGTAAAAGACTGATAGAAAAATGTGTTCACGCTGCGCCGAAAGACTTTCGAACTATGTTGAAAGCCCATATTAGGTCACAGAAAATACGCAATGAAGTTTGCACGTGGAAGTCAGTTCAGAAATGTGCTAGTTTGTTTGACGTTGAGACGGAGAAGGAAAAAGGACAGAAGAACGACAGTGACGAGATTGGAGACAATATTGTTAATGTACATCATCCACTAAATAAAAGAGATGTTAGTATCCAGCATTGTTCATCGGAAGCAAATTTAGTTCCTGGAAAGCCTTTTGTGAGAAAACCGCGAGTGTATGCAGAGGCGAGTGCTCGTTTTCAGAATTCGGTAAGACCACACTTGGGGTCTGTGACCGGTGATTTAGTGTGTCGGCATTGTGGAAGACGGGGTTATCTTATTAGCAACTGTAGAAAACGTCTAAACCAATGTTTTGCTTGTGGTTCTAGAGACCATTTCCTACATCAGTGCCCGAATTATCGACGTAATTATGACGTCACCAACCGACCACAGCAGTCAGCGCCTCAGTTCCTTCATCAGCGATCTGCACATGAACAGCGGGATCGCAGCGCATTCGCGAATTCCCGTGTACCGACTTTAAACGGTCCAGCTCCGGCTCAAATGAGGTAAAGCAAGAGCAATTGCAACATAGAGCCTCATCAGAATTTTTGCGAAATAGATACAACGGTTTAGTTGATGAATTAGATGACGGCGATGCACCGTGCCAGCTTGATCACCCAGTCGTTGTGGATGAGCCGCGACGTTATGAAGAACCTCCCAGTGAGCCGCGACGTTGTGAAGCCGCCCGCGACGCCATTTCCTATGAGCCGCCCAATGAATGTCGTAAGGCTGCTACAGGCTCTAAATGTGGTTCAGGCGAGTCAATTGATCCGTTAGGTATGATTTCGTGTTTACAGCCTGCTAATTTAATGTGTTTGCCTTTAAGTGTTGAAGATGTTAAGGTTAATGTTCTTATTGATAGTAGAGCGGCAATGAATATGTGCAAATCCCATGTATAAGTTAAGAGTAAAGTTCCTCTCATTAACAGTAACCCTGTTATGATTAAAGGTCTTGGAAGTGCGCAAACCGCTTCTATTGGTCGCGCCACAATACCACTTAAATTTTACGGAATTGTTTTAAATGTCCCAATGATTGTAATGAATGACGATTCTATTGCTTATGACATGATTTTAGGATATCCTTTTTTACGAGAAGAAAAGATTTCTGTAGACATGTGTAAACGTAAGATTAGTAAAATTATGAACGATAATTCAAGAATGGATGTTTATGTAACGGTGTCAAATGAGGTGTCTGTGGTTGTTGTGGAGAATATGCCAGTGTATGCCTCTGCTAATGTTGAGATTTCCAAGGCGGGAGTGGCAGTTCCCATTCATGCCGATTTAGATTGCCTGATAAAAGATAGTAAACAACTATTTTATTTTGAAGGTAGAGTTCAGGCAGGTAGTCAAAGTGTTGATGGTATTATTTCAGGTGAGTTAGATGCCCCAGCAGTAATTTGTGCTACTTCCAATCATAGGAAGAGGATTTCCAAGGGCATGTATCTTGGTAGGGTTTCGACTTTAGTTGAGTTAGAGGGTACGGAAGAAAGTGTTAGTTGGACTCTTGATAAGGTTAGAGAGGAGATAGTTCTATCAGATTCACTTCAGGAGTGCGAGAAGATGGTTGTTTATAAAATGTTGCACGCTACACAAGGTGTTTTAAGTAAATGGTGAGGATGATATAGGTAAAGCAATAGTAACTCCGCATAGAATAGAACTGACCGAGCATACCCCAATATGGCTACGACCTAGGACTTTTTCAGAACCGATAAATCGAGAGATAGATAGGCAATGTAAAGAACTGCTGTCGTTAGACATCATTGAGTACAGCGACTCTGATTGGTCTGCTGCAGTTGTGCCAGTGCGTAAACCGAATGGCGAGTTGCGAATGTGTCTAGATTATCGTCAATTAAATAAAGTCACTAAGCAAGAGAAATTCCCGATGCCGAATCTTTCAGAGTCCATATACAAGGGTTATAATACTCGTTTCTTTACTAAATTTGACTTAGTTCGGGGATATTATCAGGTACCAATTCATGAGGATAGTAGAAAATTTACAGCCTTTAGCACTCCCCATAATCACTTTCAATTTAAGCGTTTATCCTTTGGTTTGCAGAATAGTGCAATAGCGTTTCAAAAAACAATGCAACAGGTTTTAGCTGAATTTTGTTTTCGGAATGTAATAATCTATATAGACGATATTTTAATCATGACAGAAACTTTTGATGAACACGTGAGCCTTGTTGAGAGGGTGCTTATGACTTTGAAAAAGAATGGGATTAAAATTAAAGTTAGCAAGTGTGAATTTTTTAGGGAGTCAGTTATGTTTTTAGGTCATGTGATTAATAGAGATGGGATTAAGAAATCGCCAAAATTTTTAGATAAGATTTTGAATTACCCTAAACCTAAGACAGTTACAGAATTAAGGCAGTTCCTAGGCTTGGTTAATTTTCAGCGTAAGTTCATAGAGCAATGTTCCGTAGTGGCGAAGCCTCTTACTGATTTAACAGGTGGACCTGAGAAACAGGTGCTGGAATGGACGCCAGAAATGGATAATGCCTTTGAATCTTTGAAAGAAGCCTTACTGAAAGATGTTGCCTTAAATTTCCCCGACTATTCTGATGGTGTAGAGAAGCTTGAACTTTTCGTAGATGCTTCTAGCCTTGGAGCGGGTGCATGCTTGATGCAAAGGCAAAATAACATTTATAAAACCATAGCTTATTCGTCCATGACATTTGACGCAGCGCAGAGAAGGTATTCAACCATTGAACGGGAATTAACGGCAATCAGGTGGGGTATTAAGACATTCAGATCTTTTTTATTTGGTGTTTCATTCGTTCTTTTTACCGACCACAAACCACTTCTGTTTTTACACAATATGGTTCGAGAAAACTCGCGTCTTATGAGGACTCTTAATGAACTAGCGGAATTTGATTTTATTATACGGTATAGGCCTGGTAAGCATAATGAAGCTGCCGATGCTATGTCGAGAATTATGAAGGTGACAGACGAACAGGAAGAGAATATAAGCGATGAATGTGAGTTGCCTGATGGTTTACATGTGTCCAAGCAGATTGAAGGAGGAGGCAATTCCTTGTTTGAGTCGCTGCTTGTGTGTTTGAAGGATGTTGAGGACAGGTTAACTGTCAAGGTACCAACTACGACACTTGAACTCAGAGTGAAATTAGTGGAATTTTGGGAAAATAATCCTAAGCAATTTAACGTCAAACTCAACAGCGAGTTGAAGAGAAGTTTGAATGTAATGAAGCGCTCTGGGCAGTTGCCTAGGGTAGAAATAATTTTAGTTGCTTGTTCTCTTTTTAATGTTGAAGTCCATGTTCATTATGGTGCTCAGTGGCCCATAGTTTATAAAACTGTCCCGGATGTGATGTTGCCCGTGCTACATTTACAGTGTAAAGCTGGAATTCATTTTAATCCTGTGCATGACCGAAAACAAAGATATCAAGTTTCAGAAATAGGAGATAAAAATGTCAATTATTGTTTCGTAAATGATGTCGTTGTTGATACAGGTGTGGCGACCAAGCCCGATAATAAACGTATGTCCGTAGACTGCAAGGTGAACCGATCAAGTGTACAAGCTACATGTAGGGTGGCCGCCGAGGGTGTCGAGTTTTGTGCTTTGGTTGACACTGGCGCCCAAGTTAGCTTGATTAGTGAGGATACAGTAAAATTGTTGCTAGAAAATAACCGATCGTTGAACATCACCAAGTTGGATGGTAAATTACTAACAGGATTAGGTGGAGTAACGACTAATGTGCTAGGATATGTGGAACTAAAAATTGACGATTTCCGATAAAAATTTTCCTCATGCAGTACCATTTGCGATTGTAAAGAGCTCAGAATTGCCGTATTGTTGTATTTTAGGATCTAATTTCTTAATTTTAAATAAGGTGACTGTTGATTTCAGGACATTTTGCTTAAGTGTTAGAACCGATTTGACTTCATTTGATGTAGATTGTAAACAAATAGTAGATCCAATTTCATGTTCTCGATGTATTCATGCGATGACAGTGTGTTTTGCTTGTGTTTTGCTTGTGTTTTAGACTCAAGGTCTGATATTTCTGATTCAGATGACCTGTCAGAGACCGATTCATACATCGAGGGTGTGCCATTTTTTTCGGGCAGTTCGACAACTAGATTGATAGCTATGCAGAATGAAGATAGGGTAATATCTTATCTTAAAGGCAAGATAGTTGAACAAATACCGTATAGATTATGTGAAGGAAATGAGCTTAGAATTTTTCAGAGCGCATGGCGTAAATTTCGAGTCGCTTCTGATTTGCTTCTGTACGACAGAGGTGTGGATTCTATTCCGGTTGTTCCCTTCGAGTTTCTTGTAGAGTTTCTATTGAATTTGCACACAAAGATGGCGCACATTGGCAAGCATAAATTGTTAAACTTAGTTTTGGATAAATTTTACCACCCATTAATGAAGAAAATAGTTCGTGATATTACTCGTACGTGCAAGCATTGCCAGTTATTTAAAGTTTCATCCCAATTGAAGACTCCTCCTACTATTAAAATAGTTGCTAATTCTCCATTTGATTTGGTTGCAATTGATGTCATGTTATTTCCAAAATCATCGTCTGGTCATGTCGCAATTTTAGTGTGTGTAGACCATTTATCGAAGTTCCTTTACGCTGTACCCATGAAAGATAAGAAGGCAACGGCTGTTTGTGCTGCGATGACTAATCTAGTTTTTCCGGCTATGGTAAAGGTGCCGAATCGGATACTGAGTGATAATGGTCCAGAGTTTCGGTCCTTAGAATTTGAACGCATGTTGTCGGAAAGGAATATTGTCCATGTGTTTTCAACTAGATTCAGATCGCAAAGTAATGGATTGGTTGAGCGATCGAACAGAACTATTGCGGAATTGGTGAAGGGAATTGTTAATGAAAACCCTATCTCCTGGAACGTTGCTTTACCGAAAGCGGTAGTAGTTTATAATAATACATGGCATGTATCTTTGAAAATGACTCCGTCAGAGTTTATTATGTCAAAAGCTCATAATTGTAATAGCGATTTTCCTGTAAATGCAGACCCGGTGACTAACTGGAAAGATGCTCATCCGAAATTTGAATCATTTCCATTAAATCAGAAAGTCGTTCTTAAAATTCAAAGGATAGGTAATCAACTGCAGTATAAATTACAGCAGAAATTCTTAGGACCATATGTTGTTACAAAAATTCAGAGTAATGGCGTTACATACGAGATTTCGGATGGTGAAACTACTGTGAAGGCACATCATAAGCAATTAAAACCCTGGTTTGATCCGCCTAAATATTTACTTGACTTGGATGTCTCGAAAACCGCAAATATTGTTCCGGTTTGTGATGTCGATGTGGATAGTAGCGAAGATGAACAATGCTCTAATGTACGGGTAGATTGTATATCGTCTACGGATGGCGAAACAGAATGCGATAATCTTGATGTTGCCTATTGTGTACGATAATTTAGGGCAAATGTCTGAAATTGTATCTTATAAGTCTATTTTTAATCGTAGGAATGTGCTAGAGTTTAAATTGCTTGAAGATAAATATTCTTATGTTTTACTTTCTACTCAGCGAATAGATTTTAACGACGACCCGATTCTGGAACAAAGTGCTATAAATTGGAGTTTTGATGATGAGGATGCGGAAGTAATGTTGAACGGTAGACCTGTCGACAATCAATGTAAAGTATCATCTCCGATGTTCATGTTAGACAGGAATGTTTTAGATATGACTGACCGTTTCTCGTCTATTGGTGCTTGTGAGTCGCGACAGACTAATAGTTCATTGACCGGCGACTCTAGTTTCTTTTTATGGCTAGAACAATCATTGTCAGTGCAAGAAGAGCTTGTAGATAGGATTAGTACAGTGTCGCAAATCTTGAATGATGCGTGGGTGAAAGATGTTTCTGATGTATTGGCGTCGGAAGATGCAAGCGAAAGTGACACGCTATCTAATATTTTATCAAAAATGAGTAGTCATGTGAAAAGTGTTAGAGAGAATGTAACAAATTTTAGGTTGAACAAAGACACTTGGCAACGTAGAAGTCCGTTAGAATCAAAAGTGAACGATCTGGTTATCAACGAAGCATCTGATGTATTGTTGGAACTACCTACTGATGCGTCCTTGTATCGCAGGACTACACGTTCTCATGGTCCAGTGACCGAATATCCACGGGTACAACCAAGTACACTAGAGTATAAGATGTACACCCGACTGCGATGTTTAAAATAATTGGTACAAATTTATTAGAGCTTGATGTTTAGCATGATTTTTAGAAACGGAGTTCATTAATAAAAGAACTAGGGGAAATAATCCTGTTCATTTTGTATTGTAAATAGTGTATAGATATACGTGATTCTACACAAATGCTCTTGTAATGTGTTTTGATAAGTTTTTTTAAGTGCAATTGGGTATTGCACTTGGTGGGGGGTTATATGTAGAGGGCTAGGTTAATTATTAAGGATTAATAATGTGTATTATCTTGATGTATGGTTTATAGGAAAAGGATGTATTTTAATTAGGACTATAAAGTTGTAAGATTGTTTTAGAAAGAATCGTAGCTTTGCTGACTGGTGTCGTACGAACGGATTCATTCGGATTTTAGAGTGCGGACAGTAAGGATCCCTCTATTCGGCCTTTGATGTATGGTTTATAGGAAAAGGATGTATTTTAATTAGGATGTAAAAGTTGTAAGATTGTTTTAGAAAGAATCGTAGCTTTGTTGACTGGTGTCGTATACGAACGGATTCATTGGGATTTTAGAGAGCGGACAGTAAGGATCCCTCTATTCGGCCTGTATATATCTTGTTCCAGATTGTCTCTGCGCACTTTGTAACCTTGCCCAATTTTATATCTGTGTTGTGGTGTTGGATTTTAAGTATATCTTGACCAGAAAAGACTTTTATTCATTACAACAGTTCATGCGAACCTGGTGGTCTACAACAATATGAATCATTGGGTTATTTTAATGAGCCCCATGGCACCGTTGGCACTGCGATGGAGAGCCTCCAGAGGCCGCCCTCGCACCACCTTCTTCGAGAAGCAGCCCTTCGCCACGGACCGTACCGAGTTGTCAGGTAAGCCCAAGTCCGACATCTGAAAACATTATTTTCTGTTATTTTAATGTTCCCAAAAATACTGATTCACAATTATAATTACAATTACACAATTATAATTACAATCCACATCAGTGAGTAAATTAACTACTCGGAAAAATTAGCAAAATTTAAGTTCTTATTTGATCTCACGGAAGTGAAGAGTCCCAGGTCCAGTAAGGTGCCGTCGCTGCCTACGTCGTGGTCGGTGCTCGGGTACACGCATACGGCGGTGCCAGTGTACTGAGTCCCGCTGTTGTAACGAGTAAATTTATACGTTAAAACCTATCATTGAAGTTATGATGGGATTTTCATTGTTTTCATAGGTAACTTACTCATAAAATCTTCAGTGGAAACCTATACTTTTTTTACCCTCTCCCTCGTGTTAGGTGACTCCCGGATTGAGCGTAAGCTCAGTTATTCACCGCAGTTGTCGTAGGTGATATGCTAAAGGAAAATTCGAATATTATTTTAATTAAATTGTTAATTTATGAAGTATTATCGTTCTTAACGCTCTTGACATATTCAGATTACTAGCAACCAGCGCAAAAGATCTATTTTCTTACGTGAAGAACGTCCAGGGCGAACGTCCCGTGAGCACCAGCGATGAGCCATCCGCGTCCATGTAGTCCAGCGTGCCGGAATTTGTTTCACCCCAAAACTCGGAGCCGGTGAAGGTCTGGCCCTGATACAGCGTGAAGCTGTCGTCGTTGAGGCCGTAGGGACTTCCAGCATAGCGCAGCGATGACGTCTGACCAGCGGAAATATTTAGACAATTTTCTTGAAACCAACGGTGAGTGACGAATGTTGCGTTGAAGGTGATTTTTTCGCTATGATTACATAACGAAAAAAATGTATATCATATTATTTCACAAAAGCTGCTGATAACGTTCTCCAACACCGAAATTTCATTGCTAGCTGAAATTAATAACTTTATGTACGTAGGTTATGTCAATACTAATTCGTATTAAGTCATCGCACCACGTCAGCGTAGTCAAGTGGGAAGTTGCCGCAGTATTCGATACCGTGCATCCAGTACACCGCCCCAGGCGCCTGGTTGTACTGCACTTGTTCGTAGTAGAACCACCTGCCGACACGATAATAATTAGTTAGATTTTGGTGTTCTTCGCAGTTATCTGCGTACGATTTAATTGAATTGTGAATTACACAATTTGTACCTATTTATTATATAAGTCTACTTGTATAACAAATGAGATTTTAATTCGTAAAGTCTCAATTAACTTCTCAATTTAGAAAGAATAATTTATTTTTCAAAATATACAACAACATCCTGACGATGTGCTTCTGTTTTTTTTTCATAGAAATGGCAAACAGTTAGCCGCATAAAAAGCAGTTATTATCCGCACAAAAGACATCTCACTTCTTGTTATGAGTAATATTTTTTTATTCGCTACTGGACTTTTGTGTTGCTGAAAGTCATATGCGATATGCATGTTGATATCTCTGATGACAGAGCTCGTCAGGTGTTTATTTACAGATAAAAATGAACGGGAATTTCGCTCACGTTGTTATCGCACTGGACGAACACGCGGCTTTGGAGGGTATCGTGTATGAGCAACCTCTGATAACTGAATTTTTATAAACGTTACTTGACAGCCATTATAGCTCGTGCATTTTAATTCGTCTATTATGACGCATTTGAAATTAAAACGAATCTATTCTTTAATCAGAATTATCTTACGTTATCGGGCTATCTAGACAGAACATTACTGGGCCATTAACATTATTTTGTAGACTTTTAGTCACTAAAATCTTTCGCGGTACACATGCTGCTGGTGACGTTATCAAACATTGATACTCTCTATGACAGTTGTCATGCGCTGCTGGTGACGTTATCAGACATTGACACTCTCTATGACAGTTGTCATGCGCTGCTGGTAACGTTATCAAACATTGACACTCCTGTCTCTTATACACATCTAGATGTGTATAAGAGACAGGAGTATCCTCGGGTACAACCAAGAACACTAGAGTATAAGATGTATACCCGACTGTGATGTTTAGAATAATTAGTACAAATTTATTAGAGCTTGATGTTTAGCATGATTTTTAGAAGCGGAGTTCATTAATAAAAGAACTAGGGGAAATAATCCTGTTCATTTTGTATTGTAAATAGTGTAAAGATATACGTGATTCTACACAAATGCTCTTGTAATGTGTTTTGATAAGTTTTTTAAGTGCAATTGGGTATTGCACTTGGTGGGGGGCAATATGTAGAGGGCTAGGTTAATTATTAAGGATTAATGTGTATTATCTTGATGTATGGTTTATAGGAAAAGGATGTATTTTAATTAGGATGTAAAAGTTGTAAGATTGTTTTAGAAAGAATCGTAGCTTTGTTGACTGGTGTCGTATACGAACGGATTCATTCGGATTTTAGAGAGCGGACAGTAAGGATCCCTCTATTCGGCCTGTGTATATGCCGTGTTCCAGATGTCTTTGTAACCTGTCTCTTATACACATCTAGATGTGTATAAGAGACAGTTCTATGACAGTTGAAATGCGCTGCTGGTGACGTTATCAAACATTGACACTCCCTATGACAGTTGAAATGCGCTGCTGATGTATCGACAGATCCTCAATCGAACCTTTTCACACTCCATGACTGTTGACAAGCATTGCAGGTGACGATATCGATTAATTATGTACTCACACTCCAGTTTGACAAGCACTCCTAATAACGTTGTCGAAGCCATACGCTGCCAGATCAGGCACGTAGTCGAGGAAGTCAATGTAGTATTCGCTGCTGTCGAAGCCCGAGAAAACTCGAGTGAATCCGGGCCCCGGGATTTTCGGTCTCTCTATAGGCGGCATAAAAGATATTCATTATTTTAACTTTTCGGATAATTGTGCTAGCATTATTCAGAACAGCGCTGATGTTAACATTGACTTATGGGACTAATATATAATACTTTGACCTTGTTATAATGCGGATTTTTTAAAACAAATAACCATCTTTTATCTCTTTTTCTGAAACGAAGCAGCCACTGAAACGAAGCAGCAGTAAAATGATATTTTGCAATTTGCTCGTGAATTTGGCAAATTTTGCAATTTGCCAAATGTATCTAATGTAGCTATTATGATGTACGTGACAGTCAAGTGTTCATTATATAACCGTAGACTTTACATTATATAACGGTTTATAACCTATATTATATAACTGTATATTGAGTGGAATTGAAAATATATTACATTTGATCGCCATGAAACGTCGAAAGCACATATTCTTACTTATATATCTGGACTGCAATAAATGTACTGTGACCGTATCCTGATAGAATTACTATGTCCTACCAGTACTGCAACCATAAGTTGACAGAAGTAAAAAGTCCTACTATGTATATAGTCCTGCAAACATCGTGACAAAAGTAAAATGATTCCCACAGTTCTGCAACCGTATCGTGACAAAAAAAAAAATATCCCCCCAGTTCTGCAACCATATCGTGACAGAACTATAAAATTCCACCCTTTATTTAAATAAATTTAAAATATATAATGTAACTGCCTCTAACTTGAACAGCATTCGTTACTTAAACAAAAATATAACTGCATTAAATATCAATATAATAACATTAGTTGTGTCAGTTTTGAAAGTCATGACGGGTTTTTCTCTTCCTCTCAATTGTCAAAGCTTTGAGTGGAAAATGGCAAGAGTATACAAAATTCGTGATAGTGCAATATTCCCGCAAATGTCCGTGTTCTACGCATCACAAAAATGCCTCTAGTCGAATGACGATTGGTCAATTGAGCAATTGAAATTTTATGTTGGTACTCCCTCAAATATTTTTTTCAGCTCAGAATAAAAAATTGAATTCTTTCTATACAATATGAATCTTAGGCTGTTGAAAAGCTGCTGGTAATTCAAATCGATGAAAATAAGAATTTTAACATGTAAATAAGTCACTCGACTTTTCATGAAAATTTCTACAACTGACCTTTATTGCTGCCTTGCGAAGCCGAGCTCGCAGCTACAAGAGCCAAAACTAGTACAAAATTAGGCTTCATGTTGATGCACTTGTAACAAACACTGTTCAGTAACTCGTTAAGACAGTACATTGAAACTTGCTTTATAGATGTGATCGGAGGAACGACATGGGAGAGCCGTGACAGCTGCCGATGTCCCATGAAGCAAGAGGCTGGGAAAATGGACACAAGAATACCCACGCTTCAGATATGCAAGGAGGCAGCTACCCAGCTAGGAGTGTGACTCGTTCGGGGTCAGAAAAGATTTAAAAACCGTATGAAAATGATATCAGGGGCCCAATTGCACGTTTTTATTATGTTGTGGTATGCAAGAAATATTTTAATATATATTTATAATGCAATTGTTTTTATAATGTGTGCAATGAATAGTTTATCGTGCGCATAAAGATAGATACTGGGTGGTAGGAGTATGTTCGAAGAAATAGTTGCGTTTAAAACAAAACTTTAGTAAAACAGATTTATACGTCTATTATATCTTACTAGTACACTTGAACAAATTTCAAATTTTTATGCATGATAAAACGTGAATGCAAAAATGTGTTGTTCAGCCCTTATTTTCCTGTTTTACGGTCGGCATACGCGAGAAGTTGCTTGATGGCGATCTCTGACTTATTATGTGCAATTATTTAATCTCAAACTCAAGAATTTAGATTGATAAACACGCGTATCTGATGACGTTATCGAGTATTTAATTATATAAGCAGTTCGAGGACCGCTGCTCGTAAAGTTATTGAACATTTGAGTTCCCATGAGCAGTTCGAGACTCGATGCTGATGAAGTTATAGAACATTCGAGTTCATATAAGCAGTTTTAGACTCGCTGCTGATGACGTTATAGAACATTCGAGTTCATATAAGCAGTTTGAGACTCGCTGCTGATGACGTTATAGAACATTCGAGTTCATATAAGCAGTTTGAGACTTGCTGCTGATGACTTTATAGAACATTCGAGTTCATATAAGCAGTGGTGGGCACAGCTAACCTAAAAGTTAGCTTCGATAACCGCTAATCCGCCAACTGAAAAGTTAGCTTCGATAACGCTAAACCGATAAATCACCAAAAAATGTAGCGGAATTTGCCGCTAACCGCTAACTTTTAATATATAAATTTAGATTTCGTTTAATTTTTTTTTGGGGGGGAGGAACTCTGAAAAACAGGCCTAGAGAGCTGAACTTTCAGCCATGAAAAGGAGCTTTCCAAAAAGATGTAGCATGCTAAGATCAGATGATGATCAGGATGTACGTAACATAAATAATTAAATGAACAAATGAAATTAGGCAGTAGTTGACATTCAACATACAGTTTATTAAACGAATAAAAAATATTAAGGTTACACCAGGGTTACACACTCCTTTTACTTCGGCTTGCTCTTCGCCTTCATCTCCTCGAGGTGATGATTGTTGCCCTTCATGAACATCAGCCTCTCAAAGTTGGCATCTGACAGGGTGGCTCTCTTGGCACTCAAGATGTCCTTGCCTATGGAAAACAGGCGCTCAGCTGCAGCACTGGATGGGATGGCTGTGTTGTACTTAACGAAAAGGTTCATCAACACCTGCTCGCCCAAGAAGGCAACGTCAGTCAATTCCTCCTTCGAGCTGCTTCCCAGTCAGGTCTTCACCAAATTCTGTGCCTTGGACTTCAGTGACCCGTGGCTCCTCCTGCACCCCATGGGCTGAGAAATGCTGCTGAAGAAGTCATCTCCCCCATCCTCGTCATTGCTGGTGGTGCTGCTGCCCTCCTCAACGGTCTCCCTCAGGGCTGTCTCCACGGCGGCCTCCATGGCCTTCTGTACCCTGCTGAGATGGCTATGGTTATGCTTTTCCAGCCAGAACAGGCGAAACTTAGGGTGGAAGGCCGCTGCCAGCTGGCACTCCTTGTCTTCTAGGAGGGGCCCAGACCTTTTCGTGATGCCTGCCAGCATTGCGTCCACCAGAGGACTGCAGTATAGGTGTGGGCGTGGCACATGGCTTACGATATTTAGCATTAAATCAGAGATTTTTAAACATTTTTAGCGGACTTCCAGTTAACGGAACTAAATTTAGCGGAAGCTAATTGGTCCGCTAAAGGTTTTCAAAGTTAGCTGAACAGCTAATCCGATAAGGAAAAAGTTAGCTTCGCTAATTAGCGGTTAGCGGATTAGCGGAACTGTGCCCACCACTGCATATAAGCAGGTTGAAACTCGAGGTTGATGACGTTATAGAACATTCGAGTTCATATAAGCAGTTTGAGACTCGCTGCTGATGACGTTATAGAACATTCGAGTTCATATAGGCAATTTGAGACTCACTGCTGACGACGTTATACAACATTCATATAAGCAGTTTGAGACTCGCTGCTAATGACGTTATAGAACATTCGAGTTCATATAAGCAGTTCGAGAATCGCTGCTGATGACGTTGAGACGGGTCGATGATTACTTTATCGATCATAAATGTCCAAAGAGTCAGTAAGCACACCCTCAATCCGTAGTCGAGGAAGTCAACATAAAATTCGCTGATGTCGAAGCCCGAACACAAACGAGCGATCCCGTAGCTCGATCGAAATTGATCCCGATTTCGGTGAATATGTGTTCCAGACAAATTGAGCTTATGGAGCTCATAAACTATTCGTTCAAATCGTTCTTGACTTGTTCGTTGGACAATTTTAATACTTAAAGTAATTTATAACAAGGAAAGAGCTTCTCAGGTAGATAAATGATAGTTATTTCATACGGGGGAACTAAGCAAAGGAAATGTTACAATTTGTGAGCATCTTCACTGTGTCACGAAGATCTGCAAGTTTAACATTGTTGACCGTGTATTTAGCTGCTGAAGAATGAATGTGATCCGATGGTCAATTGCGTATTACTCAATCCATAGACTTATTCCTGTCGACCAATGTCTTGTCATTTGAAAATTTATTCATTTAGGATGCCTCAAATACTTTAAGGTGTTTCTCCCCGAAAATGTGAACTAATTGTTAACATGAATTTAATAAAAGTCTTTAATAAAGTAAAATTTATTCGCTCAATGCCCCAACTAAAAGTTGTCTTCAATAAAAGCCAAACCTCTCAAATGATCACAAATTTTTCTCGTGTATCAACATGAATTTGACAAACATATCTTATATTAGTTTTCCCTCAAAATATTTTCTGCAATATTCAAACGCAGAAAGTTTTCAATTTGAATTAAACTTATTAATATCGCAATTTGATCACGTTAAGTCGTCAATTCATTCAGTTTGTATTGTGTTCGATGAGCAGGTTAATGCAAATAAAGATCAGAGCGATGATATCGTTTTTGGCACCATTCATCATAATTGTAAAAATCTGCTTGTTTAATTCTAATATCCTGGTATTTTTGGTTAAATTGATTAAGGATTTAATCGAAAATTTGTTGTATTTGAGTTAAACTCTTTGTCTAAGCCCTAAGGCTACACTAACCTTAGACTACGCATTTTTATCTAAACTAAAGGCATGGAGTATGTGCCAATGCTTCGTACATATATACAAGCTGCGGGTACTTCATAGTTTGCTCATATGACCTCTAATGTAGATTTTAAGCTCAAGATAAGCTATACACAATACATAAAATAGCTAATCGAATATTAAGAAGAAAATTTATTCCATTGATGAGCTCAAGCACACCCCCAGATCGAAACCAGAGGGTACACGATTTTCTGGGACCAAAAAGGTCTCTAGCACAGTGCATGGTTAAAGTTCAGAGTACCAAGATTGGAGCAGAGAGGTGCGGGTTCGATCCCAGCTCTGTGCGTTAGTTTCTGGTCATAATCGGCAAGGAGGCCGGGCGGTTAAGCGCAGCAAAATTGTAGCAGTGAGTTGCGAGTTCGAGACCGCAAAATGCTGCGAATGTTCTGCGATGTTAAGAATCGCCTGAATCGGCGACAGGCCTACGGCCTATTAAACGCTGAAACCGTTATATTATTATTATTATAGCAGTTCTTTCGCGTCGCGGCTCGACCTATGAAGGAAGGCGCATAAGTTCTCACCTGTACGTGATTTTATTAGCCGTGAGTTTCTGTACGTGAATACGTGTCGCTGATATTTATTATGCAGGCGCTCCTCGCAATTCCCGGTGAAAAATTGTTATGTAAACCCAGGAGGCCAAGAGTAGATTTGTGACAGTGCAGCGAGCAAGATTGATCATACAACAACACGAGGCTAATAGATTCGTCTACTAAGCGCTCTCAGTTCAAATTCAACAGATATAATACTTATTACAGCGTTGGAACACAAAAACAAAAACGCTTATAAGCAGTTTGAGCAACATAACAGCATTATAAGCAACAAAAACAGCGTTGGAACACATCCATGCGACAACATTTCTTCTCGCTTCGAGTCACCGACATGTGGAACAGCCTCCCTGATAGCATCGTTGAAGCTCCGAGTATGAACATCTTCAAAAACAGACTAGACGAAGCTATGCAGGAGCATATGTTCAGTCTTAAAATGCCTAGCAAATTACGGAGCAGGCAATAAGTCCAGCAGCTATCTCAATCAATCGTCAGTTATGGAAAGATCGGGTTCCAAAGGCCGGATCCCTTGTGAATCAAGTCACGAAAAGTTCAAGAATCGGCAACAGGCCATGGGCCTATGTCTTCAACGCCGACACTTCTATTCTATTCTATTACAAATAATGTAAGTGCCAACATCGATAGATCAATTTTTCGGGCACTTGGTGCCATTGGTAGTTCCACGACTAGTTAAGGTGAACTAATTTTTATTGGCTATCTATAAATGATAGAATCAGCTAACTGAAATTGAAGATATTTTCAAACTAGAGACAGATAGCTTAAATGTTTTTTTTTCTGGGATGATATGTATTTCGATTTTTCTCTTGACAAATGCTTTTTATGCCATTAGCGACTAATTTTCATGCGAGTGCAAAACACCAGATTTCAACCATTACACATTGCTAAAACGTATTCATTGGAAAAAAATTGACAGGCGACACGCACCTAGTCGTGGTGCAGCATGAACTAAAAAATAATAATATATGTCCTGTTGGACGAATGAGCTTCATATAAAAAATTCAGTCAGAAAAGTAATATATTAGTACAGCTAGATGTCGAAAGGTCAAACTTATAAATAATACAAATTATATATCATGCGCTTGTGCTAGGTTTCCGGCACAAAGAAAACCGGAAAGTCTCTATCTATATGCGAGTCCTGCGCGGTTGATTCAAAATCTGAATCGTAGTCCTACTTCCATTTGGTGCGCAGAACTGGCCAAAGTAAAGTTACCAGGTAAGCCTCTTAGCCTCTATGCGAATAATTATTCCTGATTTATTATTTTAACTAAACAGGGTGTTTGAAATACATCTGGTTTTAATTATTCTAGTGTAGTTTTCAAATCCAAATAACTAAAAATTTGAATGTTGCACCGCAAATTACAATCTCGGTCTAGACGCTAGCATTTATGTGAGCTTATTTCCCATTCCTCTAGTTCCGACTTCCGAACATTCGCATTGGTCACCGAAGCCCGAATATTAAAGTCTGGAACCATCCAGAACTCTCTTGAACTCATTTTTTAACAAGCGTTCAGGCAGTTCTGCACCGGCTTCATTTCCAAGTGGTACTTTGTGCTGTGCAGTCGAAAGTTTTTCTTTATAAAAAGTTTATTCCATCAAAAAGATCCAATTTGGAAAAGTTTGATTCGTCAGCTATTATCCATCACATTTGTTTTTGTGAAGTAAGTAAATTATTTAGCCATGAATTTCTCTCATATTTTTAAAGAAAAAATGTTCACCTTTTTGATTTCGGAAAATCTTTTATTCTAAAAGCACCTTTAGGCTTTAGCCCCTAGGAGGCTAGGTGCTAGCTGCTCTGCTGCTAGGACTAGCCTACTAGCACTAGGATATGTCGAAATGAGAAAGAATCTAAAGAATGCTGTTTCTTAAATTTGAGATTAATCTAGTTATCTAGTAGCAATGTAGCATGATGATTTGCTCAATTATATGCTGATTTCTTTCACCTGAGTCCTGACTCAGTTTCCACTCTCGTCTCTCCTGACTCCTGAGACCAGTCATCAGTGAGATGTTGGAAAATGGAAAGACTGGTTTCATGTTAGCCCTATTACAATCTACCTAATTTTAATTTATCTACTTAATTATATTCTTTTCCTTCTGCTTCTGAATTCCTTCCTATTTGAAAATCATTGTAGTTTGAAAATAGGCAAATAGATAGCTCTAAAACTAGGCAAATATATAGCTCTAATGAGTCTAATCTAAAATCTTAATCCATGTGCCATGAATTATATGTAAAATGGTAAACTGCCATCCAATCAAGTTTATTGGGCAGAATTTTCTAAAAATTTAGGAGTCATATAGGGTAAACACACCATATTCCAACACTTTGGGGCTTAGGCTATTGACGTAGCAAGAAATGAATGACAATAAAAAGAACACCTTATGCGCAACTTGAGTTCTGATTGCTTTACGTCACTCAAAACAAAACACACTATGCGCCAGCAATAATGAAATGTCAAATTCCAACGCTGTGTGTGACTAAATTTGGCATATTGTGACTGTGAGAGTGAGACTAATTCAGACGTCACTAAAATGCGCGGTGTGATGTCCGATTTGTCCGTAGACTTGCGGACAGAGCACTTCAAAACCGTAATTCGTGATTCCAATGCCCTGTGTGAGCTGTATCGGAATACGACACAGCTCGGAATGAGCTGTGTGTGTCTAATTCCAAGCTGTATTGGAATTAGTTTTGATGTGTCTAAAACTGTCTCTTAACTTAATCATCTATTAATTCATTTACCACTTGAAATCAGAAAATACAAATATACTTAAAGGATTCCCAATATATTTACAGACTTATTTAAAAGTTTCAAACCATAATATTCTTTCTACACTAACAGTTTATCACTATTTGGTAGAGCAAGCTCAGCAAGGTCAACTATCAACTTTGACACCTTTTTTTTCACTGGGTGATGTGGAGTTGTGGACTGTTGCTCTGAGGATCTTGATATTTTCCAGCCAAACTTAGTGTTTTGCGTATATCTGGCGCACAAAAGTATTATGTCACTATTTCAACCATCTACACATGCGTGGAGCTAAGACAAAGCTTAATATAAAGAAAAAAGTTGAGAAGTTTTGGAATTACCCACAATGTTGGAATATGGTGCATTTACTCTATATATAGATAGGTATTTAATTAAATTTTAAGTCATACATGCTGTCACTTTTTAATAAAAATTATGCAAAGGCCATAAGAATGGTTAAAATTAGGTGCAGAGGGTGCACCGTGCAAGCGGCGTCACCAAGACATGGTTTTTTAGCCCAAAGCTTTGCTGGCCATTTTCAAGATCTGTCGCCAGGGAATTTTTAATAAGAAAGTGCTGCAAGCAACTTTGATAGCATATCCTATACTATCCATGCACTGCAACACTTATGCTGTTATGCACAACACAACTGATTTCTGGATGGCGGACAAGCTTCACTGCATCCTGATCCTTCTGGCGTACCGGAAACCTTACTGTGTGCGCTTGCAGTCTTTTGGATTTCCAGTAATTTCAAAGTCATTTCTCATATGCAATAATTTCAATCCAAATGTGTCGGCAAGATCTTCAGAAGGCGTAAATTTTGCTGCCGATTTGTTGCTAAAGATCTTGCAATATTCATCTACTTTCTGCACATTGGAAGCATGCTAGCAGCAATGCAGCCTCTAGGAGGCACAGCCACATCTCCACTTCGCTAGGATGCAGAAAGTTGGTGAATATCTGAAAGTCTTTGGTGACCAGGTATTCAGCAGCAAAATTTGTGACTTATGAAGATCTTGCCAACACATTTGGATTGAAGTTATTGCAATTTAGATATTTGCAAATCATTGGCAGTGCTAACCATAATGAAATTCTAGGAAATGGTTTGTCATTTGGAATTTTAGATCCACCAGGACAGCTGAAGTGCTCCAGTGCTGCTCACTCATGGAGTGGAACAGCCACATGTTCCAATACAAGCAGGTGAGTAGCAGCAGCATCATGCTGGTCCCACGACAATAAAAATGGGACAAGCATGCTGCTGCTGCTGCTGCTGGCATGCTTGTATTGAAGTGCACGGCTGTCCTTCGCTACTCAATTACATAGGTACTTTCTGATTGGTCAGATGAGGCTGCAAAGCAAGATCCCCAATTCTGTATTGTCTACAGTTACGAGTGCTGCAATACCTGGGGTGTTGAAGATACACTCGTCAAAACTAGTTTTTGTGCTGACGATGCATCTTGGAGACTGCTGATGACTCATCTTGGAGACTGCTGACAACACATTGCAAAGACTGCCTGCAATGCATCTTGAAGACTGCTGGCAACACATCTTGGAGACTGCTGACAACACATTGCAAAGACTGCCTGCAATGCATCTTGAAGACTGCTGGCAACGCATCTTGGAGACTGCTGGCAACACATTGCAAAGACTGCCTGCAATGCATCTTGAAGACTACTGGCAACGCATCTTGGAGACTGCTGGCAAAGCATCTTGAAGACTGCTGGCAAAGCATCTTGAAGACTGCTGGCAAAGCATCTTGAAGACTGCTGGCAAAGCATCTTGAAGACTGCTGGCAAAGCATCTTGAAGACTGCTGGCAAAGCATCTTGAAGACTGCTGGCAAAGCATCTTGAAGCCTGCTGGCAAAGCAATTTGAAGCCTGCTGGCAAAGCATCTTGAAGCCTGCTGGCAAAGCATATTGAAGACTGCTGGCAAAGCATATTGAAGACTGCTGGCTAGGGATCTTGGTTTCTCTCAGCAAAGTTTTTGGTTTACAAATGCAAAAATTGGCAATGCCTTTACCAAATTCTGCACCCTGGCCACTGGCCAGCAGTATACTGTCAACCGGGGCTACTTGGGACGGGCAGGGTAACTTGGGACAGCCCTCCGACACGGCATAAAACTGTTTTAGTAGTAAAACTAATTGGAATATTGCAAAACTAAATATAGTGGTGTAAACGTCAATATTTTTCCAATCTATATAGTATAAAGGAAGTTCAAAAATACTACATTTACTAGCTTTGAAAAATTCCTGAAAAAATGGTGAAAAATGATATTTTGAAAAGTTACTTCTACTAAGGTCTGTAGTAAAAAAATATTTGCCGTATTAAAAAATTTAGCTTAGAAAAAAGTGGCAGACAAGTGTCAGCATGAAAACTTTATTTGTGAAATTTACATACCTCAATCAAAAAAAATGGCGGCCATTTCCGCACGGCGGGGCTACTTGGGACACCCCCCGGGGCTATTCGGGACACCCCCAAAAACGCGTTTACAGTAGAACTTCAGTTAGCAAAGGCTCCAGTTAAGAAAAAAATTGATAAAAAACTAAGAATATTGATTACATTTTGCTCGCTCAGTGAAAAAAATTTCACTTGTTGAAAAATTAGTGCATTATCGGTCATCACAAAATTGTGCATAGAATGTCATAGGTATATAGAATTGTGCACCAGGCATCATAGAATGAAGAGTAATTGACTTAAACTATGATTTATTTCTCCAAAACATACAATGGTTGTCACTAAAACATTCCTTTCTGTTTCAGGTGTGTTTTTCATGATCTTTTTTTATACTAAATTCACTTAACCCAATTAAAATGGTGTGAAATTACAAGCTGTCCTGTAAGCTTACAAATACAGAAAAAATGCTATAAGGCTGCTGATATGAAGCTTGCAGTGGACAAGGTTGTTGTAAATGCTCAATGGCATGTTCATGGATACGGTAATATTTCATCAATAATACGGTAATATCGTATCAATAATACGGTAAACGATAATTAATGTATATGGTAATATCATATCAATAAAGGAAAAACAAGTAAAAATCACAAAATGTCATTTATTCTACCTCTACATCATCTACAATAAAAGAGGAGGACTTGAGAGTACTGTTAGTAATGGATGAGTACACTCTGCATGCTTCAAAGGTTTAAAATTAAGTTTAATTCCAAGTGTCCTGAGTAGCCCCGTTCGACAGGGCTACTCGGGACACTCTTTTTTTGCTTCTGGCACCTTACGAATAGCATATGGAATTTTTTTTGAGAAGCCATGTGATAGCCCTTGCAAAGAGCTTTGAAATGAGCCTAAACTTGTTTATGAAATGTTTCATGGTAAGAAGTTATGAATGAAAAACATTTGAAATCATCCCGAGACCAGAGTAGCCCCAGTTGACGGTATGTCTTTTACGATCTTTTTTCTTCTAGTGAATTCATTTGACCCAATTAAAATGGTATGAAATTACATGCCTACCTGTAACCTTACAGATACAGAAGAAATGCTACCTATATGGCTGCTGATATGAAGTTTGCCGTGGACAAGGTTGTTGTAAATGCTCAATGACATGTTCATGGATATAGTAATATTTCAATGGAGGAAAAATAAGTGAAAACCACAGAAAATGTCATTTATTCTACAAAGAAAGAGGACTTCAGAGTAGTGCTAGTAATAGATGAGTACACTTTTCATGCTTCAAACGTTTTGAAATTGAGTTTTATTTCAAGTGCCCAAGATTACCCCATTCCCAGGGGTAATTTGGGACACTTTTATTTTGCATTTGGCACCTTACGAATAGCATATGGAATTTTTTTAGAGATGCCTTACGGTAGCCCTTGCAAAGAGCTTGAAAATGAGCCCAAACTTGTTTATGAAATGTTTTTTGGTAAGAAGTTATTACCAAAAAATGCTTTAAACCATCCCTTATTACTCCATTTGACAGTATCTCTTGGCAACAAAAAGAGTAACAAAACAATTTTGACAGCTTCTTCAAAGCTAAATTTACATTGGCTAATGATGCATGTAAGTCAAATTTAACTATATTGTGACAAGTTTTGGGGAATGCTCCAGATCTTATCTTGGTGTAAGGCACCTATTAGCAGAATTTTGAGCCTGGATGCTGCATCTCTTTGATTAGGGCTGGCATTGAAGTTAAAAGATCCCTCAAGGAAGGAAATGTGTGAAAGATAGTATTGCAGTAGCAAGGGATTTTGGTCTAATTTTGTTGAAACATATTTCCTCATGGAGTGTATAAACTGTTCATCATGAAAACTGGTTTACTTATGATAATTAAAAATGCTTGCATGAAATTGATTACTAAATCTTAGCATTTTGTAATTTAAAACCTTTCAATTAACCTATTTTTCTTCTCATTTTGCAGGCTAATTACATCTTGCCTCTTGGCTCTTGCTGAAGACAGTAACGTGTCAGAGGATTACACACCAGAGCGTATATTCAAGTGTGACGGTTCAAGCCATACATTAACTTTCTAAAATCTGTTATTGAACCATATATTTTATATTGGTTTAAAAGAAGAGATCTCTTCACTTCACTAACACACAATGGCATCTGGCTCCAGTTTTGTAAGTATCTATACCTAATGTTGATAGTTGAACTGTAATGTAATAACTGTGGCATGCAATATAAGTTCAGAATTGTTCTTAAGGCATTTACTACTCAAGTAAAATAGCTTGAGCCTCAAAAATATGATGGTACCTGTATGGTTTTTTTCATTACAAATTGTATAGATTTATTTCTTGCCTACTGGTAAAATTTGCATTTTATAAAACTTTACTAAAAAGTTCCTACATTTGTATGCTGTTTATACTTTTCTTTTATATCAGCCATCAATAGCACAGAAGTTGTCACTCCTCTGTGTCCAGTGCCATTCAATAAATATGTTTCAATATACGCTTGTCTAATGTATATTTTTTGCATTTTATTTTTGATAAAAAGTTACTTAGCTTGTCACAGGTTTGTAGAATCCTCTGCTTTTACTCTATTCATAAAACTTCTATGTTATTTTTACTCTATTCATAAAACTTCTATGTTATTTCTAGTTCAGGTTGTCATCTAATTAAATTTTAATCAGAAACAAATTGCATTGCAGCAAATAATGTATAATTTCAAATGTAGTTTTTGAGGATTTCATTTAATATCATGTAAATGCTAATGATGTCACGATTTAATAAATATGCTATCAACATCACAGCATCAATCCCATTCCTCTGCACAGTAATACACTATGACTTCATTTTGGTCTTTCAATAGTTGTTATTGTGCAATATGAATGTTTTGTGCTCATGTTAATGTATTTTATCTCTTAACATTTCAGTCTGGTGGAGACTTCAGACGCAAGTGGGACAGAGATCAATATGAAGAGCTTGCTAGGAAGCGGCTGCGTGTGGAGCAATGTGAAGCATTAGGCAAGTATTTCTAACAAATGCCTGTGAAAATACAATTAGGATTATTATTCCAGCATTTAACATTTTATTGATTTATATTTCATTTATACTTTATACTTCTTATTGAAATTTCTGAAGAATGTACCTGACTGGTATGCCTGAAATGTATCTTATAAAATACCTAATTTTATATCATTAATAACCTATCTAACTGGATTTTTTCTTCTTAAATTAACTTTCAAAGTAAAGAATCTGTATATACAAGTTTATAAAGTCAATTTCTTATGCTTTCAGGTTATGAAGCAAGAGGAGCCCCTGTAAAGCGTGAGACACTCAAGCAGCGAGACTACAACATTGACCTCAACTCCAGGCTTTGCAAGAGTCAGTTTATCACAAGAGCAACTCCAACATCTCAGTCTGCAGGGTAAGAATAACTTGTTTCAAGACGTCTTTATGGTCTCGCTTGTAACACGAACATGACATTGTTTTTTAGGAGACTATTTGTTGACTGATCAAAAAGTTTAAATATTTTTCAGATTCTTTATTGTTGAGTGATTATTTTGTGAATTTTTATGGCTACATTTAGCCATAAGGTGTTGAAATATATAATCTGCCTTTTTCTGTGCTGCGTGTGTTAACCCATTAATGCCGAGTGGTTCCATTTGGAACCAGCAGAGAAAAATGAATTCACAATAAAATTGTAAGATCAAATAAATATACCTGTGGATGCATAGGTTTGATACACATCATGTACATGTTCTGGCAAAGTTTGGTTCTGCCGCGCTGACTACTCTCTTTTCAGTTAACATTCACTAGAACCAGGTCATGGAACAGTCGTGGAAATTTTTTTCTAAATACCGGTACATACCCTGTATATATAGGTATATATTTTTCTTCATTCAACATCTCAATATTGTTTGTATAACTACGATGGATGCACACCATTCTACCTTCACCGTTAGCCTTTTTTCCAGATTAAATGCAGAATTCATCTGCATGGGCACTATTTATTCATAAAATTTATCAGGTGTGATTTTTCTATTCACAAATATATTTCGTTTGCACCTGTACATTAACACCTTTAGGCAATTCTAGATCGAAATTTTAAGAAAAAATTTCTCCTTTTCAGATATTACTGCAATGTATGTGACTGCGTCGTTAAAGAATCCATCAATTTCCTCGATCACATCAATGGCATAAAACGTAAGTTTATAGTCCATATTTTTCTCATTGTTTGAAAGGTCTCGTTTATTACTTGAAACTTTTAAACTGTTTTTACTGAATGAAAAAGATCCGTTTATTCACATATTTTTCTCATATAAAGTTCAGCAGTATGAAAAACATTTTTTTGCATACTAAAAATTAAATTTTTATCTAGGGAAATTCAGTTTAGGTATTTCTTGTGCTTATGCCAAAACTTGTTTTATTTGTTCCAGATCAGAGAAAGCTTGGAATGTCTATGGAAGTGGAGCGTTCCTCTCTGGACCAGGTCAAAAAACGTTTTGAAATGAATAAGAGAAAAATGGAAGAGAAGGAGCAGCAGTACGATGTAGAGCAGCGATTAAAGGAACTTGATCAAGAGGTGAGATGGCCTTACCTTGCATCTTGTGATGGTTTGAGTGACAGGCCTTACCTTGCATCTTGTGATTGTTTGAGTGACAGGCCTTACCTTGCATCTTGTGATGTTTGAGTGACAGGCCTTACCTTGCATCTTGTGATGGTTTGAGCGACAGGCCTTACCTTGCATCTTGTGATGTTTGAGTGACAGGCCTTACCTTGCATCTTGTGATGGTTTGAGTGACAGGCCTTACCTTGCATCTTGTGATTGTTTGAGCGACAGGCCTTACCTTGCATCTTGTGATTGTTTGAGCGACAGGCCTTACCTTGCATCTTGTGATTGTTTGAGTGACGCAAGAGATGTGAGAACAGTTCCACGTTTGCTAAAGTCTTGATTTGCTGTTTAGTATGCAAATTAAAATTGGTTCTGTTGTGTAATAGATATGCTTCTTCGCTTTTTTTTTACTTCATGCTTATTACTTTATTTTAATTTAACTTGAGCTTTGTAACAGGATGGTAAATCCTGTCCGTGTTGTAGACAGTTACGCATTTAGCAAGAGGAATTGTCATTATGCTGAGTTTAAATGGTTGATTTGATGAATTTTAAATGTCGATTGTTGAATACTTTCTTCTTTCAATAATCAAAACTTTATTTTCAAATGCTTACTGAAGACTTTTCACTCCCCCAGGACGAGCGGATGCGTGCGTACAGACGAGAAAAGAAGAAAGACAAGAAGCGCAAGGCCGCACCTGTTGAAGAGTCTGAAGTTGATCCTGAAATGGCCAATTTAATGGGATTCGGAGCTTTCGGATCTAGCAAAAAGTCTGGATTGTGTTCAATAATATGTACATAAAATAAGCGCTGTTTTTTATATAAATATATTCGTGTAAATTTCAATTGTTTCATATTTCTACCACCCTTTTCTTCAATTATCTTGGTTGTGATTCCGTCGAGCAAGAGCTTTTTAGATGTGCTGGTAGAAGTCCTTAACGAATAGATAAAATAATTTCGCTTAGATTTCATCATAAAAAATGTATATTCTTTACAGTTGTAGAAAAGGAGTTCCAATCGGAGACCAAATCTGCCCAGAAACGAATGAATTTTCATGATCACTTTGCATTAAGGTAGCTTCCAACTGTGCGAGTCCATCACATTATTGGCTTCAAGCCACACAAGGCAAAACATTTCCCTTAGATCAGACAAACCTGCCTCTAGTAGAGAAGCCGTGAATGATATGGCCCAGCATCGTCTGGCAAATTATGAAATAATATTACAACAACTTGACTAGGTGCGAAGGCAGCACTCGTCTCCCAACCAGCTGCCTGTATTCATCATCTGCATCGACTAAGCCACCGAACGATAGGCCAATCGTCGAAGGGCGATTGATCTTGGAGCTTTACTTTGTTATTTGAAACTTGACGTCAGGTTCTGTAAGCTAAAAGACTTGACGGAAGTCAAGTTCGATCAGCGGCCTGTTGGTGCTAGGCAGGTATCCTGCAACTCCTGACGAGACTCAAGCTAATTAGGCGGAAATTTTCAGTTCCAGCGCAGGAAATAATCTAAAGTAATTTTTCAATGCAACGTATAGTGGCGGATAGTTTTTATTTTAGGCTGTTTGCTCCCGTATTCGGCGGCGTAAAAATCATAATATTTTAAACTGAATGATGCCTTGGGCTGGTTACTGGAGGCAGGGACTATCCGTGGCTGATTGGCGGACTTCGGAAAGCTGCTAGGCGTTTCATTTAGGGCAGATTGGTGCATGGTTGAACTAGTTTAAGGTTGACCCATCAGAAGCCCATTTTATGCGGATGTAGTTCGTTGATCGCCTGTGACGTCACTGATCTCAGTGACGTCACGGGGATTACCCAATCACCGCAATGCGATCAAACCAGTCAACCAATCCGTCATGGGAATGACGGATTTGTTTACGTTTCTCGATCTACGTGACGTAACAAGAAAGCTGAACTGAAAGACGGAACTTCTCGTGGGTCAACCTTATATAGTTCAACCATGGATTGGTGATCCTCAGCTCCGTAGTTTAATCCACAGCTGACATCGAGGCCCTGCCTGTCATTTCTCAGATTTCTTGCGTTCTGGTAAAGGCAAATTGACGAATTTTTGGCGGCGATATTTCTTAAAAGCAATTGCCACGAAATGTCTCCTCATATGAGTAAAGCGATTTTTAAGTATTATTCGGATCTCGTGCTTCACTGATAAATAATTAAAAAAAGGATAACCTGATAAACTTCTTTTAAACTTCCAAATCCTTTCTGCCAACAGCTTATTAAGAACAATAGGAGCTTGATTCGTGCGTATGAAAAATCCAACAATATCTTGACAATTACTTAATTAAAGAAGTTCCGACCCCAGACACTTTCCACTATAGAGCCACTTCAAGTCTGTCCACAGAAATCATTCAAATACCGGAATACTAAATATTTTGTATTAATTTAAAGCAATTTCTCATTAACAAGAGACGATTTTAATTAGAATAACGAAAATATAATTGCGAAATGATCAAAGATTTTGAAATATTTTATTCAACGGCTGGCATTGAGCGATCGTACACCCAACAGCTAAAGACCAAGAAAGAAGCCTACAAACGTTATTTACGAACTCGCAGCGAGTCTGATTATAACCTGTATGCCAGAGCTCGAAATCAAGCTAAAAAAGTTTGTCGCACTGCAGTGAAAAACTTCGAAAAAAATATTGCTAAAAATGCAAAAAAGAATCCGAAAGCCTTCTTTTTGTACGCTAGTTCGAAGTGTGAGTCAAAGGACGGTATATCTGATTTGAAAGTAGACCAACAAAAGATCTCCTCTGATGAGGGCAAGGCTAACGTTCTTTATCAGTTCTTCAGCAGTGTGTTCACAGATGAGGACTTGAACAGTATTCCAGATATTGAGGAGCGCATAGTCGGCGCGAAGTTAATATGTTTTGAAATACACGAAGAAGAGGTTCTCAAGCGCCTGGTAGCTCTAAATCCCAAGTCATGTGGACCACGGCTTCCATCCCAGATTGCTCAAAGAATTAGCAACCGTTCTGGCCGGCCCATTGGCAGTATTCTTTCAAAAAACCTTGAACGAAGGAACCTTGCCGTCCGACTGGAAAGAAGCTCAAGTAACACCATTGTTCAAAAAAGGTGACAAAAGCAGCCCCGGCAACTATCACCCTGTCAGTCTGACAAGTGTTGTTTGTAAGCTGATGGAATCTGTTGTGAGGGATAGGATTATCGATCACTTGACTGCTCACCATCTCATATCAGATCGTCAACATGGTTTTATTGCCGGCAGATCCTGCACCACTAACTTATTATCTACGTTGAACGATTGGACTCGCCTGCTGGACGAAAGGGAGCCAGTGGATGCATTGTACCTCGATTTTGCCAAAGCATTTGACAGTGTTCCGCATGAGCGGCTGTTGCGTAAAGTGAAGTCCTTGTGAATTGAGGGAAACGTACTCCAATGGATCAGAGATTTTCTAGTAGGTAGACGACAATGTGTCAGTATTAACGGAACCGTGTCAGACTGGGCATCAGTGCGCAGTGGCGTGCCACAAGGAAGTGTTCTTGAGCCTATTTTGTTCGTTGCTTTTATAAATGATCTGCCAGAAGTAGTGTCCAGCGTGTGCTCCAGGTATGCCGACGACACAAAAGTTTATAATTCAGTGAAGGATGCGTCAAATAAAGCGCAATTACAAGATGATCTTGATAGTTTAGTTAACTTGGCTGACACGTGGCAGCTGCGGTTTAATGCTGACAAGTGTAAATTACTTCACCTCGGGAAGAACAATGAACAGCAAGATTACAGTATGAGAAGACATGGTTGCAACGAGAGAGTAATGATTGAAAAGTCTAGTGTGGAAAAAGATCTCTTGAGTATATGTCGTCAAGGAGCTGAAATTTTCTAAGCATGTTGAAACGCTAATACATCCAACAAACTTCTTGGACTAATCTGACGCTCATACGAGTTCCTAAATGCAGAAGCGATGAAGCAGTTGTTTGTTGCTGTCGTGCGCCCGAATCTAGAGTTCGGAAACGTTGTGTGGTCACCGAGATTTGAAAATGCCAGAAATATAATAGAGAATGTTCAAAGACGTGCAACAAGGATAATTCCAGGCTTGAAGGGCAAGTCATATGAAGAAAGATAGAAGATTATGAAGCTTCCAAGCCTCAGTTATCGACGTCAACGTGGGGACCTCATGTGAATTCGAGTCACTACAGATGTATACAGTATACAAGTATACTCATGGTCTATACAAGGTCCCCGAAGGATTACTAGAATTTGAAAAAAGAACCAACACTAGGGGCCACGGCTATAAGCTAAAAAAACTGCGCTGCAACTTCTCCACGCGACAAAATTTCTTCTCGCTTCGAATCACCGACATGTGGAACAGCCTCCCCGATGACATCGTTGGCGCTCCAAGTATGAACGCGTTCAAGAAGAGACTAGATAAAGCTATGGAAAAATATATGTTCAGATTTTAAATGCCTAGCTCCTTATCGAACCCGGTGGAAGTCTAGTAGCTACTTCACTTCTGTGAACAAGGCACGAAAAGGAAAAGAATCGGCGACAGGCCACATCAGGCCTACGCTTCAGCGCCAAGATCACTATGTTATGTTAACTTAGAACACAACGGCTGCCTGCGTCGTACCGTGATCTCACATCGCTACGACACTTCTGGGACTTATTTCTAGCACACCCGTCAAGAAGGCTCATTCAATTCTTTGATTAAGATTCAATTCTATTCAGAATATTTAGTTCATGCATTCAAAATTTCCTGTATTATTCCTGTATTCAGAAGAATCGTCAATGCGCTTTTTTGTTAAAGGCTCTCTAGGAATTAATTATGAAAAAAGCACACGAGAGTCAAACTAGAGCGCTTCTGCATTTAAAACTAAACTGGGAAAGATCAAGTGCGCATCCTAAGTTAACAAAATCCTTGTTACATAAATGAGGTACGTGAATACATTCTGAACTGAATATTTACACCTATGAAAAAATTTCTCTTAATTGTTAATCAAAAAATTTAATGAGCCGCTACTCAACGTTAACTAAATTGATGGTTGGCTGGATAATCACCGTATGCTTGGTTACTTCTCGAGTGGTCTCGAAATCGAGTCAGGGGCGGCATGTTTAGCCGTACATAAATGCAGAAAATTCGTCAAGTTACTTGTAGATTGTAAATGATTTAATGCCGGCGTCATTGTTGCATCGATAAATCTAAGATTGTTGCGACCATTAATGTTCGAAAACAGGCGAAGCTGCCGGCAAACGGCCGCGGCCGAGTTTGTCCACCGACTGTTGACCGTGACCTGTTGCAAACTTGCAGCTAAGAACCAAGAATTGAGAACCCCTCTGGCGCGAACTTAAGCTTCATTTTACGTAAATACCTTGGTGATCGGAAGGTGGAAGATTATAGAAATGATTATATACTACGACTGACGCTTACGGCTGCTTTTCGTCGGAGAGGATGGAAAACTGTTTTCCGGCATCCTACTGTGCATAATCTCATCGACTAAAAGAGAAAGAGTGTAGAAATTCGACAAAATACACTTTATCAAGCTAACCTGCTGCGTCCGGACTTACTAAAATTTGTTCCTATTTCAACATTTTCTGGGACTACTTGAAGCGTTTTGGACTAATGTGCAACATCATCAAAACTGTCAATGTTTCTCTGATAAACGCAAGCAGGTTTCAGTTGTGCGTTACGATGGCGAGATCGTTAAGCACAAAGAACAACATAAAGTGCTTGGCATGATCTTCGATGCATGATCACATTTCTTATGATACTTTTGGGACCACATATCCTCAGCATGCATTGCGATATTATACGCAGGATGAACCTCCTCAAGCACATGGCATGATTGGCATCACTATACTCGGGCGCATCAAGAT